ACATGCACTATTAACATTTTCACCTTTACGCGCACACCCAACATTCCTCGCCTCTCTGTTATTAGACACAGACATCTGCCACACTTCTGTCTCCGGGAAATTCCTTTCTAGTAATAGAGGACTTCCACCTCTCTACGGAACCCAGATCTGAAACAAGACTACGGAGTAAGCACCTTCTGCTGCAAGACATCGAATCCCTCTCGACCGACAATTGCGCAGCCTCGACCGCCCCACACAAGTCCTACACACAGCCTTGGGCCCCCTGAATCCTTTCAGCCTCAAAGAGCGATCGCAGTCCTTGGCGTCGTGGTGAATGAGAGTGTGTGCGCCCTCCCAATGGGTCTGTTTACGAAAAAGACAGCGACGTCGGCGTCAGCCACTCTCGAGCCACCGGACCTAAACAATGCCAATTCTGAGGATACCACCGCCGTACCCAGCCAGAATGTCTCGGACACATCTTCATTGGAGAAGAGCAGAGACATAGAGACAACTGCCGTGGACGCAAAGGGACTTGAGGCCGACGAGAGGACGGAAGATGTTTCCATACACTCACCGCAGACTGGAGAAAAGACGCAAGAGGACATACAGATCCAGACCGATGCAAAGAGCATAACTTCAGCCAGTGTGGTCGCTCCAGCCGGCCCTGAGGACGACGATGAAGTAGTCTATCCGGGAGGATTGAAACTGGGACTCATTACCCTTGCCCTCTGCCTCTCTGTATTCTTGGTCGCGCTGGACAACACGATTATCGCAACGGCCATCCCCAAGATTACAGATCACTTTAAGTCTCTGGGCGATGTCGGTTGGTATGGGTCGAGTTACTTGCTCACCACTTGTGCCTTGCAGTTGTTCTTTGGAAAGTCAGTACCCCGAACGGCTTGGTGAGAGAACATCTTGCTAAATTTCCAAACAGGCTGTACACCTTTTACTCTATCAAGACGGTCTATCTGGTCTCAATCGTCATCTTTGAAGTCGGGTCTGCCGTTTGCGGTGGCGCCCCAACTTCCGATGCTCTGATTGTTGGTCGTGCGATAGCGGGTGTCGGCTCCGCGGGCATTTTTAGTGGCGCATTGGTGATCATCGCGTACACTGTCCCGCTGATCAAACGGCCAATCTATACCGGTCTTATCGGGGCCATGTATGGAATTGCTTCGATTGCTGGCCCGTTACTTGGCGGTGCCTTTACCGACGGGCCGGGTTGGCGGTGGTGTTGTAAGTAAAGGATGAACCGACGACCATTCAAAAACATGGCTGACCGAAGATGTAGTCTATATCAACCTCCCTCTCGGCGGTGTCACCCTGGTCGTCATCTTCCTCTTCTTCCACTCTCCTGCCCGCAAAGCTGAGAAGAAAGTGCCTCTCAGAGAACGCGCCCATCAACTCGACCTAGTCGGCACTGCACTCTTCATTGTCGACATTGTGGTTTGCCTTCTGGCCCTGCAATGGGGCGGCTCCACATACGCTTGGTCCAACTGGCGGATCATTCTGTGCCTCACCCTTTTTGGCGTCCTCACCATCGTCTTCGTCATCTGGCAATACTTTATGAAGGAATTTGGAACCATTCCATTCAACATCATCTCACAACGAAGCGTGGCATCTGCCTGTTGGTTCGCATTTGCCCTCGGCGGAGCATTCTTTGTGTTGATTTACTGGGTGCCCATCTGGTTCCAAGCCATCAAGGGTGCATCTGCGTTTAAATCGGGCATCATGTGCTTGCCGATGGTCCTGGCACTCGTGCTTGCGAACATTCTAACTGGGGTGGGAACAACAGTGATCGGGTACTACGCACCGTTCTATTATGGCAGCGTAGTCTTTTCTGCCATCGGCGCCGGTCTCTTGACAACGTTTGAAACCACCACGGGCCACGACAAGTGGATTGGCTATCAAGTCATTTACGGCCTTGGGGTCGGGCTAGGCATGCAGCAAGCCCTCATCACTGTCCAGGCCGTTCTCCCATTGAAGGATGTGCCTACGGGCACTGCGTTGGTCATGTTCATGCAAACATTCGGGGGAGCCCTCTTTGTGTCGGTGGCCCAAAACATCTTCAACAACCGGCTCATGTCAGAAATCCCCAAACAGGCACCGGGGATTGATCCGGCCATCATCTTACACGTTGGGGCGACGAGTTTGAAGGATCAGATCCCCAAAGCACTGCTGCCCGGTGTACAGTCGGCGTACAACACCTCGTTGACGCAGACATGGTATATTGCTGTGGCAATGACCTGTTTACAGATTCTCGGGGCCGTGTTTGTCGAGTGGAAGAGTGTGAAAGGCATGAAGCCTGGAGGTATAGCTGCCTAGTGGGCAACGACGAGACCACTCTGTCAGATCTTCATATTGAGCATTTTTGCCTGGGCGTTGGAGGCGATAGAGTGGCGGGGATCTCGCGCATGTGCGTCCAAAATGGAGCGATTTGGAAAGAGATGCATTGGAATGGAAAAAGCGACTGTCAGCTCGACATGCTGTTTTGGACATGGACGGCCGTTGTTGCGCATCGTGTCATGAATCCCCACTACTATTTCACGACTGGATAGACTAGATTACTCGCACATTTGTTGAGATGAAGAGGTTTCTCTGCTCAACCCCAAAAGCTCAGTGTTGCCAAACACGAATGAACACCTGGCATGTGGACGGAGTACTTGCGCGTGTATACCGGACTTGTGCTCAAAGAGTAATTTGCTGGTCATCAATCAATCCCGGTTTGTGTTGAAGAGACTGGCCAGGGATTCTGGTTTGACCAGCCTCGCTCAGCCTTGCGTGCGTAGGGGGGCCTGTGGTGCCACCTAGAATGTCGTATTGTCGAGGCGTGGGCGAGCGAGAAACCCGACCGGTGGCTTTCAATATGCATATACATGCATTCTCTGTCTCTCATCTCTTTTCTCCCCTGTTGGGGATCATTCATTCTATTCAGAATCACAAGGATTGTCGTCCTCCGGCTGGATTTCAGAATTTCCCTTCCCCATGGCACTCCATCCGCTCCCTTTATTTCCGAACGCAGCCCTTTGTCCCCTCGTACGTGGGAACTGCAGTGTGCACGCGTATCGTCTCGGTTTTGGACCCCTCTCTTTTTGTACCAAGCAGATGGCTGGGGGACGGGGGCGCGAAGGATACGAAGATGACCGAGGGTTTGATTTGAGGGTGTGTTGTAGAACGACCTGCTGCTCGGTTCCATCAGCTGTCTGGTCCAATATTCTCAACACATTGACTTTGCGGGGACCTTACCACGGCAGTCCTGAGACGCAGTTCTTAACTAACGATCCCTTCATCTCCTCTCAACGGCTCCGGTCGTCCAATTTGGAGTTCTGGTTCCTCCATGTTGCCCACCATCCTGCCATTTCACTTTTTCTGAAGACCAGGCACATACACATGGCGGAGGTATATGCCGTAGATGCTCAGAAAGATAGACTCGAGGCCAGAGTACCAGATGGAAATGCAGATGAACATCTTTTTGGTGCCTCTTGCTGCTTGCTTGCTTGCTTTTGATTTCAAAGGATGAAAAGATCGACGGATGGATGAACGAGAACTGTTCAAGCTGACAGAGAAAGGCACAGGGAGGGACAGAGACAGTGGTGTGCGGTAAGTTTCGAGAAGGGGCCCCAATGAGTGAAGATGGACGAACTGTTAATGAGTGGACTGACTGACTGGGGCTTGCAGGCCTGAATCCTCGTTACTCTAGAAAAGATGTAAGATGTGTCGAGGAAAAGAGCCACAGATATAGGTACATAGACACAGGTCCCTGTGTCAAGGAGAGGGAGAGAGAAGGGCCTTATAACGATGACGAGATAAACTGGTCCATGAAACTTGACCCTCCCCCTTGTTTCCCTCTGGCTTTCCTTTGCTTACCGTTATCCACAATTTATGAGAGGCGTGCATTACTCGCACAGTACCTACATTGGTACAAGTCACTCGAAGGAGTTCTGTGCCTATGGATTGCGAGAAATAATCAAAGGGGGGGTCCGCAAGGTCGGTCGGCCTCGGCCTCCCAAATCCTTGTGAAATGTTATTTATGCCTCTGGCTTTTTCTTTGGTTTGCCTCAAAGCTGGCTTTGGGAATGGATCCTCTTGCCCCGCCGGGAACATTGTTAAGCGGGAAATTGGGAAAAAGAACGCGACGAGAAAAAGAGGTGAGAAAAGGCAGAGAATAGAAAGAAAAAAAAATTCAAGCACGCTCCCCAATCGAGGTCCCACGTGTGGAGATGGAGCAGGAAGGATCGGAAACGCGGCAAGGCTTGCAGGTTTGTTCGGCTCGCGTCAAGCTTATTAGTTTAAGTAGCTACTCGTAACTTCAAAGGAGCCAGATGGCACCATTGGCATCAAGCCACCCCATCACCATGATCATCATCAGCTCGCAATCGGCCGAATGGCTTACATAGCTAAAACCTGAAACCTGAAATGCGAAACCTGAAACCTGCACAGAAACCACTCCCACACCCCGGCATAATGATATATCGCCATATTGGTCTGGTAATGAATGAATGCACAGCTGGAGCCCGGATCCGACGTGATTCCGTGCTCCGTACGGGACCTGCATCCATCCATACCTTTCATCGCTTATGGTGGGTTGTGTTTACCGAGAAGATCAAATTTCGGGGTGTCGGGATCCCAGAGGGCGAATCAATCAGAAGTAATCATATTACTCCTTAACGCGAACCAGGGTTGGCCAGCAGGGAGGCGCCTGAGTTGATTGAGGAGCCAGGCTGAGCAGAACGAGGTGTATCGTAATCACGCTTTATGGTTCCTTCGACACTGCTGACACGACGAGGACGGTGTGGGTAGCGAGGTAGGTACGTATGTAAACGCTGGACTCTCGTTTCCTCCCCCCTTTTTCAACGGCAGCCTCGAAGCTATGAAGGAAACTTGATACCTTCCTTGATTACTTCGCGTGCATGTATAGATGGAAGTCTGTATGTGACCCCGTACGTTCTTCAGCCAAGACAGCAAGGACTCTAACCGTCGCCAACAATGTCAACGCCCCCGTGTTCTCACGAGAAGATCAAAAATTACATCCTGGCCAACTGCTCCGGCATCTTGGAAACCGACATGAGCGGAACAAAGGCGCCCTTGTGGGAAATCATATCGCTCCTGCTCCTGCGCTGCGGCGCCGCCTCGTCAGCGACGTGTCTTCGCATGTCGTACAGGTTCATCTCGTCAATGGTCAATTTGCCCGTCGCCACCGCCGCCTTGTACCCTATCTTCTTGCTCGAAAAGCCGATCCTCTCGTTGATGTTTTCCCGCGCCCGCGCACTGGCCGCCTGCACTTTCGTGGCCCTGGGTTTCCGGATCATCTCATACAGCGCCAGTCCGGCCTCGACATCGGACGTGAAGGTATAGTCCTGGCCGAAGATGAGGCCCAAGGCAGCGGCGTCTTCGATCGCTTGACATGCCCCTTGGCTTTGGTCCGGAAGCATGGGATGCGCGGCATCGCCGAGGATGCACGTCCGACCAATCGTCCAGTGTGTGTATGGTTCATGCACGAACAGCCGCCATGGTTTGATATCTTTTGCGTGCCGGAACAAAGCCAGCCGTCTCTCGTCCAGATCTGGAAACGGGGCCAGCAGTTCCACCCCTCGGAAGCGTGGTCGGACTTCGAGGTCGGGAAGAAGCCGCAAAAGCTGTTGATTTCCCCGGCCCGGCAGGGTGAGTAGACGATCTTCTCAATCCCCACGCCGTCCCAGAATTCGATGGCGCAGTTGCCCGTCAGGTCCAGGAGGCCGAGACGGGAGACTTCGCTGGCTTCGATGACGCAGTGGTAGTAGGGGGACGTAGACTGTTTGCGGGTCGGGACTACCCCTAATGTGCGACGCACGGCAGACTGTGGCCTGCTCGTTAGAGACATCGAAAGATGTATCGCGAAAGCAAAGAATGAACTCACTCCGATCCCATCAGCACCGACGATCATATCGTGCTGCGCAACAACCCCGTTCTCAAACGTCACAATCCCCTTGTCATGGTCGATGTCCTTGCACTTGTGATCTAGCCGCAGCTTTGCCGGAGTCCCTTCGCCAGTGCCCGTGGCCGAATCCATGAGCATCTCGTGCATGTTGACTCGGTGAAACATATTGTAGACCTGCAGTCGTTTCAGCATTGGAAACCCCCCCCCCCCCAAAAAAAGGCATCCTTGAATCCCTTGAATCTCTCCCCGACTCGAAATGGGAAACTTACCCATCCCCATTGGTCCTTGTAGTCTGACAGATCATAGATGCTCTGTACTTCACCAGTCTTCCAATCGTGGCGGATCAGCTTCTGCAACACCACCGTCTTGCCGATGGAGATGTCGACATTCCATTCTTCCAGCCACCGGGTGCCGTTGGCAGCACAGCTGATCGAGGCCCCGACTTCTCCGGCGTAGTGGGCTTGCTCATATATGGTCACGTTGTGGCCTGCTCGACGGAGAGATGTTGCGCCGCGAGACCGCCTTCTCGGGGTCAGAATGGATTTTCAGCCATGATAGTTTCTTGTGTCGTTGCACTTACCGATGCCGCCGCCGATAACAGCGACGTCCAACGGCGTCCAACGTTCTGCCATATGGTCCGATGGGTGGATGATACCCTTGCTAGGACTGTGGCCAGGCTAGTTCAACCTCGATGACGAGAGGAGATGAGAGGCTTGATGTATTGTTCGAGCTTTCTGGTTTGTTCCACTGGAGCGCTGCCCGGTATTTATTTCAAGCATTTAATAGTTGTTCCATCTTCGCGATGTCCCGTTAGGTTCTTATGCCTGACAAGGACCCAAGACATTTCTCTCGGACGCTTCATTGATTGGCACCACATCCGGGCACCACATCCGGGCACCACATCCGTGCAACGCGATCAAATGAAGATGGGAACGATCCTCGACTGGGAAGGGAGAGTTCTCGAAGTCCGCTTGATATCACAATGCAGTTTGTCCCTTGTCAGCCTCTTGGGTGAGGAGTTGTCCTGCCTCTGACGCTGGTTGGACCTCCTAACAAGAGACTCAGATCGCGATTCGCTGAGCTGTCGGGTAATGCACAGTGCGCTGCCCGCGCAGCTGCTCATCCGCCACATCGTCAGAAAATCGGCAGAGTCTGACCGACCATATGGAACCATAAGAACCATAAGAAAGGCTAGGCCATTGTCAGGCAAAGCCGATTTCTGACCGTCGGGTATGGGCGTGGAGTATTGGAGAACGATATCATGAGGAGTTGATCTTGGATTGATGTCCGACCGGACTGACGCCGGAGCTTTCCCTTGTTGTACTCAACTCAGCATCCTGGAAGTGTTGGAGGAACATCTCTTGTTTAGGCCAGTCAGGATACAGCCAAAACGTCGCTATAAAAGGAGTCATCGATCTCGACATCGACGGTAATTGCATTCCAGCCCTGCTCGATTCAAAATGCTCGGCAAAGTAGCCCTCGAAGAAGCATTCGCTCTACCCCGATTTGCGGAGAGAACAAGATGGTGGGCATCCATGTTCGCTTGCAATCCAGACAAGCATGCTCGGGAAATGAACGACATCAACGACATTCGAATTCAGTACATGGATAAATACGGAGTTGGATATCAGATTCTGTCGTACACGGCCCCGGGGGTCCAGGATGTCTTCGACAGGAAGGAAGCAGAAGCGTTGGCTGTTGAGATCAATGACTACCTCGCATCAGCGATCAAGGCTCATCCAGATAGGTTTGGAGCATTTGCGTACGTCTCATCTACCCTCGGATCCGTGCTGAACAAGTATTAACCCCTGCCCTAGCACGTTGTCAATGCATGATCCGAAACAAGCTGCAGATGAACTTCGACGCTGCGTTACGCGATATGGATTCAAAGGTGCATTGGTGAACGACACTCAACGAGCAGGTCCTGATGGAGACGACATGATCTTTTATGACTCGGCGGAATGGGATGTCTTCTGGTCGACGGTGACCGAACTGGATGTCCCATTCTACTTGCATCCTCGCAATCCAACGGGGACCATGTATGAGAAGCTCTGGGCGGCGAGGAAATGGCTCGTTGGGCCTCCACTGAGTTTTGCCCAGGGGGTCAGTCTGCATCTTCTGGGGATGGTGACAAACGGCGTGTTCGACCGACATCCTCGACTACAGGTGGTCATCGGACACCTGGGCGAGCACCTCCCTTTCGACCTTTGGCGGATCAATCACTGGTTCGAAGACGTCAAGAAGCCGCTGGGGCTGAAGGAAACATGCAAGAAGACGATCCGCGAGTATTTTGCCCAGAACATCTGGATCACCACCAGCGGGCACTTTTCGACGCCGACCCTACATTTCTGCCTGAACGAAGTCGGGGCTGACCGGATCCTGTTCTCGATCGACTATCCGTTCGAGAAGTTCGAAGATGCGTGTGAGTGGTACGACAATGCCGAGATCAATGAGGTGGATAGAAGAAAGATTGGGAAGGACAATGCGAGGAAGCTGTTCAAGCTGCCAAATTTCAAGGACTGCGATGCTTGATATTCACCGAATGCGGAGTACAGCCTCGTTAGCCCATTGTTAACTTGTAGGCCTACGGCCCCGAGGCTTTAACTAGAATAGGCTTTATTATGGGCGCTCCTCTCTTCTATGGACGCTCCTCTAGTGGCCGAGTGCCTTATCTTGCTTACCTATCCTTTTAACTGTGGGGGCCTTCACTAGCCTCGTGCTTATCTGCCATTGTGCCATCTCCACCTCCATCTCGACGATGACTCTTGTCCTAAGTACACAACCTGTTGACAACGTCCTTCTCCTACACTCTGGATGGGGACAATATGAGGAGAAATGCCTCGCCCCAAGGTCCGTCCAGAGGATCGGCAGCGGTCTGCAAAAGCATGCTTGCCGTGTAAGGCGTCAAAGAAACGCTGCAACGCTCAACTGCCATGTTCCAACTGCGTCAGGCGGAGAGCCACATCATCCTGTCGCTATGTGGAATCGGGTCATGCCAGGCATTCAGCAAAGCCTCAGTATAGCCAGCCACAGGCCTTCAGGACATCGGTGGATGAGTCCAACCAGTCTGCGAAAAGACCCAACTATGTGACTTCAACGCCCGGACAGGTGTCGACGCCCGTTCCGGCCCACCTCAATTCTGTCCCGCGCGACGTGCCTGGGTCAACTGGCCAGAAGCTCACCGGAGGCCGAATGCTCCTCAATTCGAAGGGAGATAAAGGTACGCATCTGTCCCATTTGTCACTGGGTGGGCTCCGAGCACCGAAGTGCTGATGGGTTGTAGTCTACATCGGAGGATTTGCCTCCCTCTCGTTTCTGCAATTCCTTCGCCAGACCATCAGACAGCAGATGGGGCCATCTCTGTTCACCGAAAATACTCGTCGCCATGTCATGCTAGAGGCCACTAGCCCTGAAGACACAAATAACAACTTTGTCGAAGACGAACACCAGAAACGAGCCATGATCGATGTCTACTTTGCTGCTGTAGGTTGCGTCTAAAGTTTTATTTTCTCTGAGATCGCTCACCTTAATAGACAAACGGAATCTTGGACCTATTTACCAGAGAGGAAGTTGAAGCATATTTGGCAATTGTGAACACTCCAAATGTCGAGAAACGTGAGTATACGGCGGCTGCTCTTGACCTTATCGTTGCTATCGGGGCACAATGCCGAGCGGCGGATCAATTCGATCGACAGTATGCTGTGAGGCTCTTTTCGCGAGCGCAGAAAACTGCTCTCACTGGCGGCCTCGAGGATCCTTGTCTTGATATGGTGCGTTGCTTCCTACTCATGACGTTCTACATGCTGGGAGCCTGTCGAAGAAATGCTGCTTTCATGTACATGGGAATTGCTAGTCAGGCTGCCTCTGCCCTAGGCCTCCATGTCACCGAGCAATATCGCCATTTCAATGCTTCAGATCAGAGCGTGCGGTAAGTCGTCGTTTTCGCCGCCGATAACCCTCATTCTTCCACCCTGCTGAACCCAATAGGCTGCGCACACTGAAGAGCCTTCGGGTCCTGGATATCATGTATTGCTCGATTCTGGGGAGACCTTACTCGACGGGAGCAATCAGAACCGACCACGTCGCATTGAACAGTATAGACATGCACACGAGCAAGTCTCGCGATCTTGCATTGAATGCCAGCTTCAGGGCATGTACGATCATCGCCGAGATCACCCAACGCCTTGACTGTGACGGTTCCATTGGCCTGCGCACCGCCGAAGGATTCCTCAAACGTCTCCAGGAATGGAGCGTCAGCCTGCCGGATGATATCCGGCAGTTCAAGAAGCCCGTCGATCAGTCCTTGACACTGCCAGAGCAGGAGCAAATGATTGGGAATATCCACGTCTCCTGCATATATTACTTCGCGGTGATGCTCGTGACCAGACCGTTCTTGATCTCACATCTGATGCATCAATTGACTGGGAGCACAGATGACGGCTCCGTCGCGAGAGAGACATCTGAATCGGAAGCGGATCTGGTCGATGTGGCTCAGGCTTGCATCGATTCAGGCATTCTCATGGCCAATATGTGCTACAAAGCCCTCCAGTCCGGTATTCTGCTCAAACAGATGTGTATAATGAAGTAAGTAGCTGGCCAGCGACGCTCGTGGCCTCCACGCGGATGGTAACCAAGAGCTGACTTTTCCTCAGGGCCTGGGTCTTCGCCGCCGGCCTGGTGTTGGGATTCTCGATGTTCGCGCAGGGCGAGTCCCGCTTCGACATGGACGACTCATTCAATAACGCGCGTGAGGTCCTCCGAAATCTCTCCGTCCACAGCCCCCAGGCTGAGCACTACTACGAGATTCTCAGCGGCTTCGCCGACGTCATCCAACGACATCGCCAACATCTCTCGCGCGAAAAGCGCCGCTTCAAGAACAAATACGTCGACCAGATCTTGTCGCTAGACGTCAGTCCGAGCGCCGCCGGATCTCAGTCGACGTATTCTCCGCGCACGCCGCGGTCCGGCGACCACGGCCTCGGGGTTCCAGACACTGCTGTGGCGAGCGAGGCTGCGACAGGAGGAGGGGGACCAGGAGCGGTTGCAGGAGGGGCTGTAGAAAGCGATTTTGATCTGCACGGAACACCACAGATGGCCGACTTCAGCCAGTGGCCACTGGAAAACGGCGGCGGCTTCGACTTTGGCATGTTCGGATGGGACAACTTTGCCATGCAGATTTCAGAAAACTTCTCCTTCGACACCGAGCCCGTCGTTTGGGGCGTCACTTGAGCTGGAACTGGAAATGACTCCAAGACATACAGCAGCGCTGAGCGTCCTTGGTCGCAATGTCGAGGCACAGTTATTTCACTACGATACCGCCACCGAGACTTACAGACGCTTTTTTTTTACCAGTCTTGGTGACCTCTTCCAGAGGCCACGCTCTGGCACAACGTCAGTATGGTGACTACGAGCAGTCCCTGCAAAGCTGCCACGCTGCCAAAATGATCACGCATTTGCCGAAGAAGCTCAAGCCAACAATTTCTCAGAGGTTAGTGAGGAATTCTGGTTTCGGGATGTAACAGAGCTAGGCTGCTGACCCAGGCGAGCTCTTCTACGCGAGACATGTCCCAGAAGCCGGCTGACCGCAGAATACTCGACCTTGGAGTCGCTCCAAGGGCTGTTAACGCTCTCTGCCACAGGCCACAAGTTCTGTGCCAATGCGCGCGAAACGCGTCACCCGAGAGAATGTACATCTGGGGGTCAATCATTCAAACGAAAATGGAGGAAACTCCTGTTCCCTCTCCCCCAGTGGCCACTCGGCTTTGGCTCACGTTGACTTCCCATCTTCGTAGTACTCTGGGTAACTCACTTGATACCCCAGGATCCACCTCCCCCAAAACGCCATGACATGCATAAACCCCCTGCTGATGACCACACCGAGCCACTAGTTCGACAAAGGCAGCGCGAGAGGGGCGTCCCCTTCGCGCAAACTGACCATCAACTGAAAAATACTCGGCTGCACCTTGGCCTCCTGCAATCGTCCATGTGGCCGAAGAAGTTGCGGAAGAAACGCTGTTCGCTCTCGTAGGCCTCGGGATCGAGCTGGATGTCGATGACCTGGGGGTCTGTCTTCGACGCGTTCTCGAACTTGTAGTATACGCCAGCATTGACGCCTGCTGTGGATTGCCCGCCTGGCACGGAGGAGAGTGTTATCCAAGGCTCCCGGCCAGTGCCTTTCCGGAAGGTCCCTTCGCCTGAGACGACGTGGAAGCGCTCGGATTGATAGATGTGGTAGTGGAAGGGAGGCCGGACGATCGAATGGCCGTGCTCAGACGTAGTCGGCGGGATGGTGTGCGTCATTATGAATTCAGAGTTCGGTCTATGGAATTCGACACTGCTTCGGCCATTCGAAGATGACGGGGTTGTTGGAGGCATTATTTGTCCGGGTTGGACCTGCGGCGCGGAGGAAGGAGAACATTTGGGGACAAGGTTGGTTGGCAGTTTGGAGGATGGAGAGCTTCACCTACGTGCTTTTTTCGGAGAGAAAGGTTCAAATAGCTTCTTCATATTCAGCCTGATGAGAGTTTTCGTATACCACTATCCTGCTCTAACCACAATGAGGGCGGTAACTCTGTCGTTATACTTGCCATTGCTCGCCGGCTGGCGGCAAGTGTACGCAATTCATGTCAGACTTTCGTCAGCATTTCCAAATCTCGCATGAAGGCTATGATCATATGAGGGGCTAGAGAGCTGGGCTTGGTCGGTTCTGGAGTTGAGGAGTGGCTCAGTACGGAGGATTGTCGTCAATTAGAAACAATCGGGCGATGCATAAGTGGTACAGTCACGGGTCAGTGTTCGTGCCTTGGGCATCCAGTGAGGCCAGGTACAAAGGTGTTCGATGGTGCGCGGTCCGCCTGCTTCATGTAAGCTCTCACCTGCCGGAAACTGGGCAGCGATCGAAAAGCTCCCAGTGCAGGATGTCCCGACGTCCATTAAAGTGCTAAAGAGGTCAATGGTGGGGGATTTTGCAGCTCGCCTTCTGCTCTTTGGCGCAAAATAGGGGCAAATCAGTTTCTTTCGTCGTAGAGCCTCACTGATTCAAGCTTCATTCGACCTCACTTTGGCCCCTGTCCGTCGAACTCACGCTTTCTGACTGCCAGACGTTGAAATCAAGCAGGAAAAGACCATGATGGACGTAGCTTCTTCGACTCGTACTGTAGGATACCAAGGCGTGGGAGAGCCGGAGCATTCAGGTAGAGGCCAGAAGAAGGAAAGAGTTTGTCAGTGTTGATAGGTGGGCAGCGAGTGAGAAGAGCATGGAGGAGGTGAGAGATGGATGAGAGATGGGCATGCTACTTACTCATCAAGAGGTCTCTGGTGTTGGGATTACCTGCAAGTAGGTGGTTAAGCGACCTACTGGGCTCTATGCCTAAACTGGAGAGGCGTCCTTGAGGTGTCCTTATCACGGGTGACTGTGCAGTAATGGCGCCAATGTGACTTGTGCGGGCGCAGCCGGTGCCATATGCGGGGCATCACCCTTCCGCCAGCTTCAAGTCGCGTTCACCTGCGCCATCGCGGTTGCGGCGACGCAGCTGTCCATAGAGGAAAAAAAAGTGCCACGAAGTTACGGTGAAACTGTCCTCTACTCACACCCCGAAGGTGAAGCTGTGCCTTTCTCTCTCTTCGACATCTGTCTCTTCTTGTTTTTTTTTAGAGGGTATAAACTACCCGCAATCTTGATCTTGAACTGCATTCTCTTCCCCTCGTCTGCCAATTGAACTCTTCACCGCCGCAACCATGGCTGAGCTGTATCCCGATCTCAAGGACCGTCCAGTCAAGGAGACTATCTGCCTTTTCGATGTCGACGGCACTCTCACACCTGCGCGGCAGTCTGTTTCTGCTGAGATGCTCCAGACATTGTCCAAGCTGCGACACAAGTGCGCAATCGGCTTCGTATGTGAGCCCCTCGTCAAGCGAAGGGACTTCCAATTAAACTGACCCTTGTCGTACTAGGTTGGAGGCTCAGACCTTGCCAAACAGCAGGAACAATTGGGCACGCCGTCTCTTCCCGTCACCACCCTCTTTGACTTCTGCTTTGCCGAGAATGGCCTCACGGCCTACCGCTTGGGCCAGCCAATGGCCTCCCACTCGTTCATCGAGTGGCTGGGAGAAGAGAAGTACCAAAAGTTAGCCAAATTCTGCCTGAGATATCTCTCTGAGCTTGAGGGCCTTCCTCGCATGCGTGGAACCTTCATCGAGTTCCGTAACGGTATGATCAACGTCAGCCCGGTTGGCCGTAATGCCAGCAAAGCAGAAAGAGACGAGTTTGAGGCTTGGGACAAGGCAAGCAATTGTAGACCCCAGATGATTGCGGCCATTGAGAAGGAATTCCCCGATTTGGGACTTACGTACGGGCATATCGGCGATCATGTGCGTTTACTTTGAGCTGACGCAGACCGCAGGTACTCGATCGGCGGTCAAATCTCCTTCGATGTGTTCCCTACTGGATGGGACAAGACCTATTGCCTGCAGCACATTGAAGCCGAAGCGGACCCTACCAAGGGCCTGTCTGGGATTCAGTACAAGAACATCCATTTCTTTGGTGACAAGGCGTTCAAGGGGGGTAACGACTGGGAGATCTACACCGACCCTCGAACCATTGGTCACGCTGTCAAGGGACCCGAGGATACCATTGCGCAGCTCAAGGAGATCTTCGACATCTGACTTGCAGCTCGCCTCTGACTAGCAATGGAGATGAGGATTTTCTCTGTGGACTATCAGCATTCTGCTCTTGTGCTTCGATTCTCTCCATCCACTTTCTTCAGTGACAGGGAGCGATTACATGGAGCCATCGCTTTAGAAGGATCTCCCAGGTCGGAAAATTGATTGAGCGTTCGGATGATAGAGTGATAGACCAAATGGTATGAGGCCATACACGGGAGGCATGAGATAGGATCGCAAGGATTGAGAGATGGACTCGAGCAATTGAATCCTTGAGATCACTTGATCGGCATTCTTGTCCAACTTTTCCATGCGCCGCAGCAAACATATGCATCATTTAGTCCTTTTCGATGTCCCACAGTCTGATAATCATTACTCAGTCAGCGTTGCACAAACACCTTACTGCCGAATTTGCATCCTTTTGCTGAAAAATAATGTAGAATGTAATGTATATGTCATGCACTACTATATGCCTCTTGACGTTCGCCGCAATTCCTCGTCACTATTAAATCGTCCTTCGGCCGTACATATATGACCAGAAGTACCCACAAGTGGGCAGTATGGATCAGGCTATTCGAATAAGCCCAGCACAATCCAGTTCAGTTCAATCCAGTCCAATCCACCCAGGGCTCATCGCCCTCCCACACGAAGTTCCAAGTCCCCAGTCCAAGAAAGAGTACAAGTTTCTCGTATCAAAAAGTTCGCCGAGCAAGCGACATAGCTGAAAATATTTTTGGTAGCTTGGAGCACCGGGAAGTGGACGTGCAAGTGGAAATACTGTAATCGCCGTCCCATGTTATATATCCCCCCTGCTAATACCTACCGTTCTTCCGCGCCGTACTGTACCTGTACTTGTATGTAATAATTAGTAGTGCCCGAGCAAAGCCAGCGCGGTGTCTACCCGTCGTCTTGTTACATGCCCCAACGGCCCTGGCCCCGCGAGTCTCGGGCTTCAACCACTGACGCGTCGTATTCTGATTGTGGCGGTGCAGTAAACCAATCCAATTACCCAAGCAACCGGCCAATCGCACGACGGCAGACTGAGTTGAGCCACGCAAGCCGATGAAGCAGCCATAAGACGGATCACCGCATCAAGATACCCAACTAGACCGTGGACGCGGACGGATCCGGCACAACGTTTCTTTCTGGGCGAATGGGCGAACAGACGCGTGATGCGTACTCCATAGCTACCAAACGAATCACAACGGAGGAATTAAATATGGTTTTGTGGCGCTGTGGCACAGGCGACGGCATACGCAACACTCACCACCCAGCACCCGTGTCACGGAACAATTGCGTGAGATAGGTATGTGCAAACTGTGGCTGAACAACCAACTTAGCGAGCACACCACCACATCAAGAGGAACCCAAAGTCTATATGACACCCGAGTGAAGGAGATACATAATTATCTAATCCCTTCTCCCCTGGAGACGACGGGCTCGCCTCTCAATCTCGATTGAGATCGAGGGCTTGTCCTCCAAAGGTCTAATAATCTATCCATTTGATTTCGTACATTCATGATTATTGGGTACCTTGTATTTATTCGATAATAACACTATACCCTGCCCTACCTTGCTCTCCTCTCGAGCCAAGCCAGGAGAGAAACGAAACCGGACACGTCACCTATCACTCTCCGCTCTCATCTCTCCAATCCAGAATGCGAACCCTCCGCCGAAGCCTGAAGAAAGGCTGCGTCATCCCCGAGCAGCTGTACAGGGGGATCGCGCACACGGTCTGGCTGTTCTGGGAATACGGCCAGGCGGTCAGGCGGGCGCCGCATTGAGAGATAAAGGAAAGAACCAAGAGGTCATTGATTCGACTCTTGCGGCACCTAGGGACCCATTAGAAGATTGCCCTGCTCAATCTCCTGCCAACGCTCATCTTCCTCTCTGGCTCTTCATCCTCTGGAATATCCTGAAACTCCCTCCTTCCAGTGTCGAGATCCATGTCACGAATCTTCACCATGAAAGACGTGTCTCTGGTCCAAAGCTTCCAGAAGGCAAACAGTGCCATGACTATCGGTGCGGCAATATAACTCTCAAAGAACGTCTCCGGGTCCGGGTCGCCGCCGAGAGGGAACAGGGAAACATAGAACGTTGCCGCCAGACACAGCACGACAAGCGACACGCCGACCCAAGAACCATACACACCCAGTTGCGACTTAAACGGCAGGTCATCGAGTGAGCGACCGGCAGCTTTCCATCCAGCACGGAAACGGATGTGGCTGTAGCAGATGGAGCCCCAGACGAAGAACGACGACAGACCCGTCAAGGCAAGCAGCCAATTGAAGACCGTCGCACCAGTGGCGGCCTCGTTAATGAACGCCAATAAACCGAATGCCATTTGGATGACAACAGGCCACACGGGGCGGCCTTTCTTATCGATCCACGCCAAAAACCGGGGCCCCATTCCGCCCTGAGCCAGGGCCTGCATGGTGCGGGTAGAGCCATACGTGCAAGAGTTTGCCACTGACATGACGGAAATGGTGATTACAGCATTGAACACCGAAGGAAGACCCTTGACACCAGCGTACTTGATGGCAAGCACGAAGGGTGAGGCTTTAGTGTTTGCGCCCGAGGAGTTGAGAAGGTCGGGAGAGCTGTTGGGGACAATGATGCCCATGATGAGCAGCGAGACAACATAGAAACCTGCAATGCGCCAGAAGACTTGTTTGGTGGCCTTCGGGAGCGACTTCCTCGGGTTGGCGGCCTCAGCGGCGGCAAGACCAACAAGTTCTGTTCCTCCATATGCGAAGGCGGCAGTGACAAAGACAGAGCAGAAACCCTTGAAGCCTAGGAATGATATTAGCTTTGCGGTTGACTAATCAACTCTGAAAACCATGTCTTACCGTTGCGGAAAGCCTTGTTGCCATGTTCGGCATCGTCCCAGTATCTGAAGCCGATGTATCCACGGTCATCGCCGGGGATACCGCCACAGTCAACGATGATGCCAAAGATGATGAATCCTAAGACAGCAAGGATCTTGATTACACCAAGAACAAATTCAACTTGTCTTCATCAGCCCGATTCCTTTCTCCCAGCTGGGTCTGTCAGAAGACACTTACCTTCTCCGTAGCCCTTGACACCAAAGAACTGGACGATGATCAAGGTGGCGAGAAACACAGCAATCCAGATGCCGATATTGTAATGATGCCAGTAGTCGATCGTGATGCCTGCAGCAGTGATTTCGAAGGGAAGCGTAATCAGCCAACCGATAGCCTATCCATCTGTTAGCCTGATAATGTTCATATACCGGTACTGGCGCCTGGCTCTCAAAGACGCTCACATATTGCCATCCCATGGCGAAACCCTGCTCTCCGCGTCAGCGAATATCTTGAAACAGCGGCGAAAGGTCACGAACCCATGCAGGGTCGATAAATCGCACCCCATATACGTAAAATGCTCCATTGACGGGGTACAAAACCGCCAATTCGCCGAGGGCTTGTACAGTGCAGAGCAACATGGCACCGATGATGACGAATCCGAGTACCAGTGATGCCGGACCCCCAGACTGCAAGGCTGAACCAGAACCCACAAAGAGACCAGCGCCAATTGACCCTCCTACACGAGAACTATTAGCACAAATGTCGACTTCCAAGGGTGGGACAGCCCACCGATTGCGATCATCTGCATATGTCGACCTTGCAAGCCACGGCTCAGCTTCGCTTGGCGATGGACTCCTTCTTCGACGTCGTGATTGTCATCCTTGGTCGCGTGAATGACTCCATCTTCAACATCGTGGGCGACATTGGTTGGCGGTACCTTAGAGGCTTCCGGTTTCTTCTCCGAGTGGACGATGTCGGCCATAACGAACGATTTAGACGCGAGTTTTGAGAGTTCTTGTCAAAGGTGGCCGAGATGAGAAGAGATCCCCAGCTTTATCAACGTCAAGCACGGGGCAAGCAGATTTAAGAAGGTCAAGCCGACCCAAGCATGGCTGTTGATTCCTTGGCTTTGGCTTATCATGATGCCGCCTGGCTTTGCAACGCCGTCATCCACTTGCCTTCTGCCATGCCACGCGATCGCAGGGTTGTGTGATGTTAGACGGAGGCCGCCAAGGCCATGGCACAGGAAGGTGGTAAGGCGGGCATTCTCCTTCATTGAGCATACCGTATACGAACCAGTAAAACCTCATTCTTGCTGAAGTGGCGTATGCACTACTACCACGAAGCCTGCTTGGGATCGCCTATTCAGACAGGGCTGCTCTGCGACTCGAGATAAGGGAATGGCTTTGGCAGGTGTCTGAACCAATCATCGCCGAGCTAGACACCAGACCTCCAACCTTGTGTCCAGCATCAGGGGAGACGGGGCTGGAGTGAGACGCGCACATATTGGCGATCTCTGGGAATATGACATCCTTCAGCTGCTCTTCTGGTTACAGCGATCAAAAGATGGCGACAAGCTCCCTGTTGATCTACCGCCAGAACTGCACGGATCCCTAATCTCCAACTGCAGATCGCCGCCAGAAGGTTCTTAGAAGGATTCTTGAAGCGAATTACTGGGTGTGCGCTTACGGCTCCCCTCTGATAAGCAGGTGACATTTGTGTCTATACTCCGGACTTGTTGCCAGCTGAAGACGCTTGGCGCTGCCATCGTGTCACTGCAAGCGGCGCTCGTCGTTCTTAGACAGTGATGACGGAGGCGCGACCGGACGAGTGTCACTCCGTAGATGGGGCTGGCGAGGGTGGACCTGGGGACGCCGTGTCTCGGCAGATTATTAAGCGTGCGAGTCTCGAGGCGGGTGACGACGAGGAAAAAGGGAAACCAGGTATCAGCCACACGATTGGCAAGCGCCAGAGTCCATTGGGGATGTGTGGGCGTTATAATAATGTACTGGTACAACAGTGAATGGAGTGGTCGGTCAAAGGTGTTCACAAGAGTTCAGGCTGCGCCCAGCGACTTCTCGAAACGGCACGTGATGGGAACGTCCTTGGGGCGTCTCACGTGACTATATCGGCTGGCGACTGGCTCGCTGGCATTCCTTATGCACGCGCTTTGTACAAGGTAGGACTTAGGGATATCACTGCATTCTCGGCATGCTCACGCAGAAGGCAACTTCATCAGCAGCACAGCCTTCTCCAGACAATACTAAGATGCTTGAATCTATATCCAAAGCGGCTTGGAATCGCCAGGACAATCCTAAGACAACAGGGCACGCCAATTTCTTCGCTCGTCAAATCCACTGCAGGCATGGCCTTGGGCCAGAGGCAAAGGATTCAGGAGGATTACAGTGAATGCTGGGGGCCTGACGTTCTGCATTCAAGGAATGCCATGCTTTGATGCGATGGTCGAGCTAGACCCATCGCGCGAAGATGAAGTCGTGCTGAAGGGGATGAATGCTCTGTTCGAAAGCCATCACAGCTGTGCTTCGCAAGCGACAAAGAGGGTAATCGTGGAGGACATGGCAATGGACTTTCTAATCGATCGAGCTGTCGATCATTTCCAATTGGCATCAAGTCGACCTGGTCGACGATCAATTTCGGACATGATAGCTGCTGTTCAGCCAAAACATTGAAAAACAAAATCCCACCCCGATGAATTTTCTCAATTCAAATGGCCCTTTTCAGATGCTCGACATCAGGGGACAAGCCCTACTTTTTCAAGCTTCATATCCATTCACATTCAAAATCCGAGTAGTCATCCACCAACGCCATCGCTTCGATCGAAAACAAGCATGCAAAAAGGCACTAAAATGGGATCTCGAATCAACGCTCGTACTGTGGCAGCTCCGGCCCCGTATGATCATGATTCAGTATCTGTACACTGTACTCGTCGTCCATCATGGGTGCCGTTGGTGCTAGAGAGTTAACGGCGGCGGCCCCTGCCACGTGCGCCTCTTCCTCTGATGGCGGCCCACTTGTCTGCGCCAGAAGTCGACGTCGTTCCAATTCTTGCTTGTCATCAGTATGTCCGGCACCGCTAGTTGAAGAAGGGGGTGGAGGTGGGGATGTTGAGTAGGGTCGGATGGTATCCCCAGATCTTGCCGATGCGACTGAACCAGGAGCATGCAGCGTTGAAGGTGTCATGCTTCCGTCATTTGGTAGAGGGTTTGAGGTCAGATTCGGGGCGGTTGGTGCATACCGCAATGGGCTGTTGGAACTTTCCCCTTCCAGTGGAGGCTCGCTTGGGAACAACAATTGCTCTTGTCTCCGTAGCCGTGTTTTCTCGTCGACCTCTTCTTCCGGCGCAGGAGGAGGTATCGTCTCGGGTGCCGGAGTAGGATAAAAAGCTTGGGAATTCTGATCGTAACCATAGTCATGTCCATAGCCATCGTAATAAGGGTATCCCGCTTCATCGTAATACTGTCCATCGTAAGCCTCATTATAATATTGCCAATCCTGCCAGCCTTGCTCCGATTCTTGGGTCGTATCTCTAGAATGTTGATACTCTACTTGCTTGTTCTGTCGCCTTTTCCTACTGCTGTCCTGGGTGCCAACCACAAGCGACATTTCGAATGAGACGACGCTTTTAGTCCGACGTAATGGGGCTGTGTCTAAGATATGGAGAGACCACTCTGAAGTTATTTGATTGCCGGCATCAGAACTCTGAGAAAATGTTGGCTCGCTGGAGGTGAGCCTTGGCCACAGCCGAGTCTCCCCGATCTTTCCAAAGAGATCGACTACCACTTCGACATGGTAGGTGAAGGATATCATATCGCCCGGAACGTTGGCAATGGTTGGAAAAGCATTGTCAGGGACTTTAATAGATGTTGTTATATCGGCAGTCATCGTCGCCGGGTTGACAATCATCATCGTGGACGTCTGAGCGAGGTCTTTTCGGAAAACACTGTTGGGCGAAGCTGCCGAAAAGTACAGTCCTCCAAGGCCTGTCCGGGACTTCGGATAGACGTCTTCGTATTCCATCTTCTTATCCTTGCCTGATCTGTTCGGAAGTGGAAGTGGAGGATGCATGTCAATTCTGCACTGGCGGTATAAGGTCGCAATAACCATCCCTCGCACATCTGCCTTGGTATGTGCTATGGACACTCTGATCGGGATTGTGTCCCCGGGCAGCGCTCCATGCCGCGGAAGCTCGGTGGTAGCGGTAATAGTATTGGCGGAGGAGGAGGAGGTCGTGTTACTTCTAGCATCGCTGTTCTGCGGACTTGGATTTTGTGGAGGTGATACGTCGTCCGCGATCTGAAAGCTTGGGCTACTTACCGGAGTCGCATTTGTCTGCATCGTTTCCTCACTTGGCGCGGGGCTCAGCGGAGGATTGCCGATGGACTGGGTACTCCGGCTGTTCGTGCTGTGTTGAGTATTATTTCGGCTCAAAGGGCCAGCGCCAGGACTTGATGTCGTCTGGGTGGTTAGGGACGACGCCGGTTTGACGACTTTGACTTTGCCACGTTTAGAGACGGGCTCCAAAGTGATTACCCGCGATTTCGGTGTGTACATGTGCTCGATATCGATCAAATCTTGAAACTTGATTTTGGTACTCCGAGTGGTGACAGGGCTAATTGTCGTTGGGCGGGTGAGAGTGGCAGTAACTAAATAAGATATTGTTCCTCGTTCGAACTATCACAGTGTTAGTATCATGGCAGGGACAGAGAAGCGCCCAACGTACATCGATTGTGCTGGGAAGGCCTCTTGAAGGAAAAGGGACTTCGAACGCAAACTTGTAGACTTGTTTCTTGAGGAAGCCACTGCCACAGAGAACCTGCTCATGCTGGAATAATGACACCAGACCGTTGCCATGATATTGCACCCCTCTTGAACCCTTGCCATTTATCAAACTCTCAGGTGCCGGAAGACCTTCGCCCGGGGGTATTTGGTGTTTATAAACCTTCGCATATCCATGCAGATCCACAACCAAATGGGTGATGTCGAAACCCTTGAAGACAGTGAGAATCACATTGCCCTTAACGATCTGACCCGGCGAGTAGACTTTGAACGGATCTTCGGGTTCAATAGCGATATCAAACATGTTTCGAGCATGCTTCCCTAAAGGATTGGACAAATAGGACAGTATGGAACGAGGCCTAGGCACTGGCGGGTTGGGGTTCGTGAGCAGTGACTCGAGAGGCATCGCCGTCAGGACCAGAGCCATTCACTGCTATAACGGAGACGACGACCAGAGCATTGTTGGTTTGACTTTTTTGGGAAGGGTGCGTGTTTTTTTTTTTTTTTTTTGAGGGCGAGGTTGGTATTTCGAGATCGTCTCCAACCGGTAGTGTGGCTCAGTTTGTGCATCTACTCATGAGTGTTGCGCTGCGGCCGGGAGCGACAGTCAGCTTCGTCATCAATTAGGCCCGATGCCTGCGCAATAACTCGGAGACGACAGCGCCGATTATACGAGTTGGTCGTATCAGGTATATTCCGGCTTAGCGGCGCATGGCGAAGCGCTGTAGGTGGTATATCTCCTGGAGACGTCGACAGAATCCTCGAACGGTCGCGTTCGACCTGAATGCGGGTGGGGGGGAAATCTCGGGAGTTTCGAATGGGACTTCGACAAGGCTTGCTCCGTACGTCGCGGCGACCGAAGGAGGTAGGGAGGGAGGGTGTGTCGTCGATCTTCCCAATGTCTTTATCAACGACGATGCGCAGTTGCCATGTATGGGGTTTCGAGGCCGTAGGCAAAATGGCTAAGCTTCGGTCAACAGTGGTAGTGTACCACGTTGATGGAAGATGGAGCAGCTGGATTAATGCTTGTCTGCGAATTCAAGCTTCGGAGCTTGGCAAGTCGAGAGTCCTGTGGTCTGATCGAGGAGGGAATGACAGGAGAAAGGGAGTCGCGAGGAGGAAGTGGGAAGCCACTGGAGAAGGGGGGACAGAAGGCGTCGGGGGGAGCAGGAAGAGGTTTAGGGTCGTGGTGGTGGAGGCGTGAAGGTCACAGCGAGGGGTGACGGGGGGGCGAAGTTCCAGTTGGTAGTTGGTAGCCGGGCTGCTGGACTTAGCTAATTCGATCTAGAACGGGTGGTTCGATGGTGGTGAGGGCAGAGAGGTGGTCTCATTGGCATGTCGTTCGTATCAAGGACTGAGTTTTTTCCCTGTGGGTTGCTTCGAGTCTTCGACGAGGACACGCATGTCAGATTGCTGCTTGCTAGTTAGAGACAGCTAGCCATGCACCATTCATTCAATCCACCGGCACATTCCAGGTCAAGTTTGTCCACATTGTCATCGTCATCGGATATTCGTCGCCCAGTGGTGATGATCCGCTGCAACTTGATTCATTCTGTACCTCCTTGTTCCGTACGAGGTGCAGGGTGAATGACAGGGGAGGTGGATGTGCGTAACTGGGCGAGGAATCTGCCTGCAGTGGTGACACCTTGTGTGGATTCGTAGATACCGGAGGATGTTGTCGTTGCCGTGAGCGTCAAATGGGAATTGGTAGGTGTGGTGAAAGGTTCAGTCGAGGATCATGATGGATGAGCAACTGCAGCTGCGGTGGCTGTTTATTCAGGGGGCCACTTTTAGGCTGGTGCAGGCTGCTCGTCTGCTCGTCTGCTCTGCCTGTTAAGCTTTTTTCTTTCTCGTGGGGCAGCTTTGGGCAGGTCCATGAGGGGCACGAGCAGGAGCAAGGACAGGCAAGGGTTACCCGGCAGGGGTGCCAGGAAGCATTACCCAGTACTTAGGTAGGGGCGCTTCGGATGGTGGAGTTAGTGTTCCACAGGCGGCCACAGGGAAGGAAAACCACTGGCCACCCACTGGTTAGGGGCTAAAGGGCCTAAAAGGTAGGTAGGCGCCTTTTGTGAACAGCAGCCCCTCTCCGGAAATCCAACTCGTCTTAACTACCCACAACACGAGAGATGACACACCGTCTCCGAAAACGATCAAGACGTGGATACATAGGTAGCAATCCTTGTAAGCAGGATGGCGTCAGACACCGCCTATTTAACCTAGCCCTCCCGGTGAGGCCATCAACTCTCGCAGCACCTTGGACCTGGATTGACCTGGGGTATCATCCTCCTTGGCCCCCCCAAACATATGCCGAGCATGTGCTGGTAACTGCCTATGAGGGAGATTCCTCCCTGTACCTCGTACACATTCCACAAACAAACCGACGGTCTCACACCACGGTTCAGCGCCCTTACCCTTTCCATCTGAACGCGTCGTGCAGTATGCAAGAATGGCTCGACTAGGCCAAAATTTGAGCCTGCTGCATCTGCAACAAGCTAGACGCAGAAAAGCTTCCTCACTTCAAGCTTTGGGGATGATCTAGGCCCGTCCACAAGCTCCGACTAACCAATTTCTGCCCTCGGAACCGGTCTCTACAAAATTTGGCCCTTAGTAACAAGTAGATTTGTTTCTCAAGCGGACACATGACCAACCTCAAACCATCAGGCCCATGTCTTGATGATTCCTTCTCAACGGCGCTGCTTTTTCGTTGGTGATTCGTCCTCTTGCAGACTGTCTTCTGAAGAGTCCCTTTTGGGCCCTTTTGCTGGCTTCACTCGACCCTGGACTTGATATTTGGTCAATTTTGTTTCGTCGAGCCCATGCTCGAGTCCCTCGGGCTCCACGAAAACCATATCCCCGTTCTGCCCTAGGGCCTCCTTGACCGCTTCCTCGAGTAGAATCCCGAAGGCGATAAGAGCTGTCTCATCAAGGGTCCGAAAATCAAGTGTCCCTTGTTCTTGCGTGGCCCGACTGTAGAAATCCGACGCATACGCATGGATTGCTTTGAGCATTTCAGACTCGGGTAGCTTTTGGGGTCCACGAAGTTCTCCTGCTGCATCATACAACTCGTGTATTGCATGCTCCGGAATGGTGGATCGGCGTATAAGGACTTCCTCTGGTGCAATGGGCAGAACATTTTCCGATGCCCTCTGTTCTGCATTCAAAAATCCATTCAAGCCTGCTCTTCCCGCCACGGCATCATAGACCGTGACTTGCCGTGGTGGCTTAGATGATTGCAAGCCTCTGCCCGCAGCGTTTAGCCTGGCAGCTTTGCCTGAGGCTGTATTTTCCGTAGTGTCTGCCATATCTGTTGTCTCACCGTTCACAGGGATGACAATGCTGGATCAAGGGGCAGTTGATGCTATTCATCGCCGAATCTTCCGAAGCAGGATGATCACAATCTTCGTGAAATGAGGCTCCACAAAGCGGTGTCTGGGAATTGACGCCCGTATGGCTGGAAAGATTGAATGTCGCACAGCTGACGAGTGAGTTCAGAATTACTGGTGTGCTGGGGCGATGGAAATGTTACGCGAAACCCAAGGATCCAATTTCTCCTTGTAGCTCATTCTCTTGCCACTTTTACTTTCCCTCGGCTCACCTGCCGAGCTTGGACTGCGGGTAACGCCAAAGCCATTCCACTCTTGAGGCCAAGCTAAGCCTAATATATTACTTGGCCTTGCTTGGTTGGCCTTGGTTGGCCTTGTCGATCTTTCAGCATACTCGGAATGAAGTTTGAACTATTAGCACTATGACACACTAGCTAGAATTAAACCAGGAAGCAAACTGGAGCTTATCTACCTCGTAGTATCAGGACATATTCAAAAGAAGAATGTGAACTATTAAAGACCGGGTTCAAGCTTACAGACCTGTGTAGAAGACTTTTCGATATCAGCCACAACGGCAGGGGCTACCATTCCTCCGCCCATACTGCTCGAAGCTCGTCAGCGATGCAGACGGTGCGCCGACCGGATTGCCGCTGACGTTTTTCGATGAGCTCGAGAGTACGCCGCCGCTCCTGAACACCCTCGGTCACCAATCCTGCGATATACAAACACTGCGTGGAGATGAAAATGAAGGCGTCGGTCATTCCGGAACTGGCAATGAGTACAATTTGTTCACGCGATTGGTTGATTAGCCGTCGCACCGAAAGTGATTCAATTGTAGAGGTAGAGGTACTTCGGCCCTGTCGCCGAGGTGGAAATGGAGGTCCACTGAGTGCCAATAGGATTTGACTAGCATGGTACATTTGGATTCCGACAGCTGTTTCCTCCCTCAGCCGATGCTCGGCTTGAAATGGTATTCAAGCTTGCTGCTCACTTACCACAGTGTGGAAACACGAACCACATGGATGAAATGTCCGGTGAATACTGGTGCGTTGCCCCTTCTCTCTGTTGACCTTCCCAAAGCACCCGACCTGCAACAAGGTGTGTGATTGATGGGGGAAGCATTCGTTTCCACTATTCGAGGTCATTTTGAATTTTGGTTCTCCTCCTTTGTCTTGCGTCCACCGTTTCTGCAGTCTCCGCACTCCCCAGCCCAGCCCATTTTCGTTATTGCAGAAGCTTATACATTGTTCGAGCAAAAACATGGCACGGTTTGCAATCTCTCCGTGAGAAAACTCATTAAAAGAGTCAACGGCACGTGGTTCCCAGTAGTGTTCGTCCAAAAACATACGGCGTCCGGCGTGCAAAACTGCCATGTATCTGATCGATACCATGTCCAGAAAACGACCCCTTTTATCCCTGGTGAATCTCCATTCACTTGCCACAACTGAAGGAGAGAAGCAATACCACGGAGGGGGGGGCCGAAGTTCTCGCCGACTACGTCCAGCATCTCATAACTATGTTGTGAGAGATTCTAGTCAGTAAAGCCTGACTGTACTGTTGGCAGGGAGTAAGACGTAAAGAAGAAAGAAAGGCGAATCGTACCTTGAGAGCATGGTGCTGGATGCCAGGATTTCATCGCTATGTGCCGAATCAGGTTTCATCAACAGGGTACTGAAGGCCTTTAGGGCCTTTTGCTAGTACTGCACAGCGACGTCTTCTCTTATTTGCAGTTCATCTCCTGCCTTCGTCAAAGCCAGTTGCTTCGCCGAAATAGCAAAACACGAGAACAAAACTGCAGCGCACTCGAAAGCTAGTATAAGGACAACGGTGGAACACAAATTCTCCGAAGAGAATGCGCTTCAATCTGACAGAGTCAGTTGGCCAACTTCGTATCTCCCACGTGGGAAGATGTGTCGACATACCCATCGCGCAACTCGTTCCACCAAATTTCGAAATATAAACACTTCTAATTCTGTCAGATAGATGGTGTTATGGGACCCCAATGCCTGTAGAGGAGAATGGGATTTAATTGCGTCTGGATAGGAAGCGTTATTCGAGACACTGGTGCGTTCCGAACGATCTAGCCCATCATGCCTCGGACCCGATTCACTAGGAGAACAAGATATGCCGCCGAGATGTGCATGTGGAGGGGCAGAATCAGAGTCGGGATTGTACGAAGTCTGGTGTGAGCTTCGAGCCGAGCCTTTCCTTGGTGAATCCGGCAAAAACAGCAGATTTGGCTGTTCCCTTGACTCGAGTAAGATGGACTAGCTGTGTGAGGGATAATGTGCCGAGGTAGATCTTCATCGAGGTTGAGATTTTTGGGGGTGGAAGACTGGTCACTGAGGTACTGAGCGAGAACAGGTCCAAAAGAGGCAGGCGTAGGGACAGGCTAAGCCTTGTCACTCGTCGGCGATTCGAAGCATGCGCCAGTCGCTTTCGAGTCAAATGCGGTATGGGAGCCAGTCCTAGATCGTCCGACATTGCCTCATCTTGGATTATCGAGCTTTTCAATGCTGGAACGACTTCGACCTGGCGACCTGGCTTCGTACAAGCACGGTCTATTCTTTTTCGCACAATTTCCACAAACTGGTTTGCGTTCATCGCATTTGACGTGCCTTGCCCTACATACGCGGCTGTACGTTCACCGCTTCTGGGTCGGCAACATGATGGCCTTTTCGTTCGACCAGGAACCAACAGGTCTAGTTGGTAAGAAAGCGATAAACGTACCATCCCGTAGTCACGCGAAGGCGTGTGATGGAGTTCTGAGATCCATCGTTGCAAGGCGTTGTATCGCACCTCTACTTCTGATCTTCGTCTCGAGCCTCGTTGCGAGAGATTGGAATCTTGACAGGGTCGAGATGCAGAGCCCCGGTCCCAGTCTAGTTCAGGAACGGCTTATTAATTACAGCCGGTTCTACTTATCAAAAGCAGAAGATTGGCGGTAGAGTCAAAAGGTTGAAGAGACGGATTAGGCCGTTGATGTGTAGAAGTGGGCCGTCAGTTCCGTTCCTTATCTTCTCTTGTATACCTGTCTATCTTGTGGAATGTCTTGCAATTGTTCGAACGTTGATCGAACGCGCGACCAGGATCATATGATATATGTTCACCGGAAGTCTAGGTGCGGTGTGGCGCTAGAAAGCTATGAGAGTGAGTTTAGTTAGCTAGTCTCTGGCACTATTGGTACTGAATATAACTCGACTTCATATGCCCCTCAACACACCGAGATTGCTGCCCAACTATACGCACAGACGGAAACACCGAGGAGGATTGATTGGGACTGTAGGGTTACCAGCATCGTAGTTTTTGGAGAGTCAGGATTTCCCTTTTTCAATTTCCCTCGAGATTCATACTGGATAAAATTGGCAACAGTTGACAGTAATAGAATTTCCAAAAAAGTTCATTTCCTTCTCTAAAATAGTTCTATCGAAGCATTCAACATCTAGAATAAGCGTCTTCCTGCCGCCGACTCAAGTGAACACATCCAGCAGAGTTCAGTCGTGTCCTCCGGTCTCAATTGTTTGGTTGTACAGGTACCACCTGATCTTCAGACTTTTCTGCCTTGGTGTAGACCGCTCTCAAAACAGCAGCTTGTGCTTTTGCAATCAACCTCCAGCAACGGTGTTGCTGTTATCAACGCAACTGAATGCTGACCCGACCTGTCCTGTCCTGTATTGATCAATAATGCTCACCACGTTGGCATAAGTTCCGCCGACTGTGATCAGCAGACCAAGCACGAATATTCCAATATGTGCATACCAGAGGATCACCATTGGGGCGGAACCTTTGCGGGCATCTTCGTTCAAGACAAACCAAAGGATTGCAGGGATACAGACACCCAGATAGCCAAAGCCCAAGGCCCCAATAAGCGAGACCAGGCTACCGTAAAACGGGATTGCTTCACATAGAATCCAACCAAGTAAGCCTGTTCCGTACGTGCACGACAGCCAAACTGCCCAGTGAGTTTTTGTATTCTGCGTCAGGTGACGAGTGTTCCGCAGGATGCGGACAAAAATGCTCTTCCCTGCCACGTGGACACAGATCATCGTTCCAGCAATCAGTCCGGGGATTGCAATAGCGTATGATATTATCTTGATCGTGGGCCCAGCTGAACCCAAGGCTGGTGAGGCCACCCATCTACCACAATAAGCGTAGACAGTAGTAGCAAGTGCCAGGTAGGATGATGTGATCCAAGCCATGCAAACATAGACACTTTTGAAGTAGTCCTGGGGTCTCCGCATCTCCGATATGACAGGGACAAACCCGGAAGTATTCGCTGAGGAGGAGAAGATGGCCAACGAAGCCGACCATGCAGTAGCAAAGGTCGTCCCAGCAGGAGGAAGGACAGCGAATCCCAGATCGAAATCTCCTGTTTGAGGTGCAGCGGCTGGACGATCGCGTAGTGTGACAGCAATGACCACTATCACGATAGCCGTTACAATCGAAATGAACCCAACCCAGGTAATCCACCCAAGATTGTGGATTTTTCTAATGCTGGCAACAGAGGCCACGATGATGTAGGCCACGAAGCCAAATGTGACACTGCAAGTTGCATGCTTCGAGACGGCGTTGAGGGCAATGGAAAAGCCGAGAGTCGAGACACCGGCGCAGAGGATCCAGGTAAAGAGATACACGAATTCAGTAATCTCTTTGACAACCCAGGCGTTTTTCTTCGTAATCCCCATCTCAAGTGCAGCAATATGAGCACTGTCTGCGACGGTATGCACCGATGGGTATTTGAGCTTGAATTGTCCCTGAAGGACAGCGCAATAAGTGTTGAGCGCACCCCAGAACACAATGAAAATGGCCCCAGCAACAGCTCCGAGATTGTAAAGCGCTGCAGGGATAGAGAGAACACCGGCAGCGAAAGTCATCTTTAAGAAGAACATTGACGCTCTGATCCAGCCAACGGTTCGGAAGTTGACACCATCATGTCCAGTAACAAAGACTTCGGCCTCATCAACACTTCCCAATTTTGGCTCGTCTTCCACCGGGCTAGTCGGCGTTACGGCCTCGATGTCTGGCTTCTTTTCTGTGATTGTTTGGTCCATCTTTCACCTAGAGGGGTTTGATATTGAAATAGTAGTTAGGATACTGCAGCGACTGCCTCACCGGAGACGATATGGGTTGGGAGAGCCAGCCAGTATCAGGGTTTAAAGTGGTTTTGATATATACCTCCCGGATGGGCGACTATCTTTAATATCGTCCCGCCTTACCTGGGCCTCAGTTACCATTTTGGTCACCAAGGGCACATGTCCGGAACAACGACTCGCGATGCCTGTCCCTTGGGCTAGTGGAGACCGTGGATGATCTCTTATCGAGACTTTGGGGAAAGACACGAATCGTACTTCTGTGCTATAGGTCTCGGACCACAGTTTCCGTGCCACACTCACCTTCCATGACAGGCAACGATGGGCGGAGTTGCGGCATATGCTGAATCGACGAAGGCGATGAACGACAAGGCTATTGAGGTCGGAGTCGAGCAACAAGGACTCCAAAATCTCGGCTAGGTCACGTGCTGGCATCCCAGAGCCGACATTTCTCGAGACGAGGTCGGATATGTCCACCGTTGCTACCTCTCAACTCGTTTCGATGTCTGAGACTGAGAGCACTACTATATCCCACGGCTCAGGAGCGATATCTCCGAGTCTTATCACTTACGGACGAGTCTCACGACGACCACAATGCTCTACGGAAACCACAGACTCCAGGATGCAGTCTCGGATGACCCCCTTGGCCGGAAGTCGGCACGCACTGGGGTCGGCACACATTTGGGGCCGGAACACAATGGGGTCTGTATATACTGGGCGTATCATTCCTTCCGGCTTTGAGAGCTCAGACACAGGCGCAACAAGAAGAAGTAGAAGAAGAAGAGGGTGATAAGCCTGGTACGAAGAGGGATGCTTTGTCCTTATATCTCAGGGCACTGTACATGAAGACACTTACTACTTGTTGACACCACTTCGACAACTACAAAGATGGCAGTAGCATCATTGGGAAAGTGAGTCCTTCTGCAGACAGCAGCATCAATGGCGTCTTCAACTGACCTGGTGTCTTCTCTGTCATCTGGTGCAAATAGGGGAACTAAGCTCGATGCTGCTGAAGTTCGAGCACTTGTCAAAGCGGCCGGTCTATCAATATCCGACAGCGCAATCGAGGACTGGCGTGTTCTCCTTGGGTCGTTCGAAGATTGTGCACAGCTCGTCTTGCAGGAGGACGGCTGTCTGCCAATACCGGACCCAGACCGGTATGTCCGGACAGATATTCAGATTCCAGAGAACACCGAGAAAGGTGGTTGGGCGACACGATGCTCGGTCAAGAGTACCGCTCCTACAAGTGCGTTGCTGGCCGGACGCACGGTGGCAGTGAAGGACAATATTGCAGTTGCGGGCGTCAGATGTACAAATGGTCTTCCGCCTGTCAATGGAGAGTGGATCCCCACTTATGACGCCACCATTGTGACGAGAGTACTGGATGCTGGCGGCATAGTCACAGGTAAAGCTGGTATGTATTGAAGGCACATGGATGTGCTCGAGGTCAGAGGAGGACGAGCTGGCTAACAACGGGCCTGTAGCTTGCGAGAATGCATGCATGGAACCGATCTCTAATACTTCGTATACCGGCGTCGTCCATAATCCGTTCGCAGACGGCTATACGTGTGGAGGTTCTAGTAGCGGATCGGGACGATTGGTCGCAATTGGCGCTGCCGATATGGCCTTGGGGGCTGACCAAGGAGGGTATGTTTTCGTCCTTTCCAAACCACCAAGGCGATCTCATCAAGGAAATCTTGTAATAATGCAGGAGGAGTACAGGTCAATCCGCATCCCAGCAGCATTCTGCGGTATCGTCGGACACAAACCGACTTGGGGTTTGGTTCCTTACACCGGTATCCTCGGCCTCCAATCCGTTATTGACCATACCGGTCCAATGACGACGACCGTTCGAGACAATGCTCGCCTGCTCGAAGCAATCTCCGGTCCGGATGGGATAGATGACCGACAACCGTTTTCCATGGCCCCAGAATCCTTACGTTTCTCCAGCGCGTTGGACGAATTCCTTGCCGCTGGTGCCACCAAGCCACGAGATCAACTTCTGAAAGGTTTCAAGATTGGTATTCTGAAGGAAGGCTTCGCTGGCAAACAAATGGACGCCCACGTCGCCAAGGCGTGCCGCTCAGCCATCTCCGATTTCAAAGAAATGGGCGCCGAAATCGTCGAGGTATCAGTCCCGAATCATGAGCAAATCTGCGTCATATGGATGTGTGCCCTGCCACTGCGTGCCGGTCGTGAAGGGCTACTCGGCGACACCACAGGGCGCAAGCAACTTGAACTGACAGACCGCGGTGCTGCCGCTGCTCCTGCCATGGGTCCCAGCCAGAAAGCGCTGCTCTCGCAAGAGTTCTTCGACGCCCTGGGTCCCGGCGCCCAAAACCTTTACATGAGGTATCTGTATGTTAACGACAAATACGGGGCCAGCTTGCATGCCAAATGCACGAATCTGCTGAACAAAGCGGCACAGGCATATGACGCGGCCCTAGGGTTTGTTGATGTGTTGGTAATGCCGACCGTGCCCATGCCGGCGTTGCCATTTCTCAGGGGTCCCAACGGCACCTCTGGTCGCTCTCAGGCCGGGCCGCTCGAAAGCCTCTCCTATCCATTGGGCGTGCTCAGCAATACGGCACAGTTCAATTCCACGGGTCATCCAGCCCTTTCTCTACCTGTAGGATTTGTACCCGCTCCAGATAATCCGGACATCAAGTTGCCCGCTGGACTCCAGATTGTCGGCAAGCGCTTCGAGGACTTGACATGCTACAAGGTCGCGGGGGCTTGGGAAGAGAGCAAGGACTGGAAGACCCTTGTGTTTGCAGAGTAGGAGAAAAATCAGACGACCAATCCGGCAACCGAAAAGAACGCAGACTCATATTTATATCAGCAATGCCTGATCTCTTCATAGCACGGATTTCAATAATGCAGACCTCTCGACATTGTTGGACCTCCATATTCGACTGCTTGTCCCGCACAGCCATTGTGCCAAACAGTACATTATGCCATGCTCGTAGGTGCTGTCCGGCAACAGCCTCTGAACAAAGCCTGGCATCCTCTGATTCAAAGCGCAACATTGTGACGATAAATTTTGTTCGCAAGGGCAATCTTTGGCGGGGGAATACGTAGTGCGGGTGTCCACTCATGCGCTCGATGACGATGCTGAACCAACAGTCCATGGAAAGGGGCAACATCTTCGAAGTCTAAGATCCGTCCCGGTGAGCTACCCAAGCTTCTGACCAATTGTTGTGTAATAGGTGGTATAGTAGACCCTGCCCTGCCTGATGTCTTGGAGGGCTTCCTGCACGGCCCTTCCAAACAGGTCAGACACTTCCTTTGTCGCTCTGACCTTCAGGCCCTCGTGAATGTCGGTCAAAGCCCAAATTGCATTGTCTGTCTCCTGCTTCGACAGCCACGGCACCGGATGCACATCGATATAGCGAAGATTGACTAGACCGTGACGCTGGAGCTCTTCCGCCAGATGTCGTAACCATTCTGTGTGAGAGAAGAGGCTGGTCAAAGGAGCCGTGATTGCTGGAGGCTCTCGAAACGCACCCGGATATCTCAGAGGGTCGCTCATTGCTCGAAGGACGGGAACGGTGGCATCGGTCCATTGTATGAACCCACCCGGCTTCAACAATCTTACGATATTGTGCATAACCCAGTCTTTGTCCTGGAAATAGACCGCCGCCATGATCAATCGGACATGCACAACATCGAATCGACCGATGTATCTGTCCGGCATGGGTTGAAAGATGTCGTGGATCTCCAGTGCCACGTTCTGAGGCCATGTGAACTGCGGCGGAAACTGTTGTGGGGATATGTCGATGCCAGTAATCTGTGCCTGGGGATAATCGACAGCCATATCAAGAGACCAGATGGCGTTGCCACAAGCAACATCTGCAATCTCGAGCCTATGAAAGCCTCTGATCTGTGCTGCAATGTCTGGATGAAGCAACCAGCCCAGCCGCCTCAAGAGAAGATAGTGTTGAGCCGTCAGTCTGCCGGATGCCAAAGGATCTCGAGACATGATGTATGGATCTCCATGCGCGGCCATGTCTGCTACCGTAAATATAAATATAGCGAACGTTCTGTTGGGCGACTAGATCGATTGTGTAGGGCCCAGGCAGCAACAAGGCCTCCTTGTGTCTCTTCTACCACGTTACGGACCGTGGCTGATTCAAGCCTGTTGATTAGATTCCTATCATTAGTTGTAGCGCAATACGAGCAAGAAGCAAGCCGAGCACGCCGCGTTCGGTTCGCAACAGAAAATTTGCGCGATTCTTCGAACCACGATCCGAAGCAGGCCTGCCCAATTTGCATCTCACCGATCTCCGGGATAGTCGAATTCTGTGTTTGACTCACGACCATAGACCTATGTAATGTAATTCCTTGCGAGGAGCCAACGTGGCTTGAGGGAACCGAGGCTCAAAGGCTATACCCAGGGCGGAACAACGAGCGCAGATACACAGGCGAAAAGGGTCCTGTTTCCGTACCCAGGGCTCACCGAGAGTGGCGGATATTTCTGCATGGTGGCCATTCCATCCTGCGAAGCGACAGGAGGACCGGTTGATTTTACAGCATTCTCCTGCTCGCACCAAAGTGTGACGGACATAGTTCATCTTCGGAAACCGGGAAGTCTGATTTGTGGGCGCGGCCCATCATGCTGTCTCAATGTACCTATTGTGAAAGAGACGCACTGGACGGCCTGAGAGGGGGGACACCACACAGGGGGGAGGGCAGGTCGTTGCGAGACTCTCTGGTCCTTCTCACTGTGGCTTGCCGAGCTCTGGCTCTGCTCCCTCCGGCGGGTCTTTGGACGTGGCCAGGAAAATTTGATATAAGGCCACCCGCTAAGAGATCAGACAAGCGGTATTTCCCTTGAGGAGTGCGGGACAGCAAGAGCGGTAGGAGTTGGGAAGTCGGCCCCAACGAGGATCAATGTATTAAATTGACCTCAAAGGATGCGACGACAAAACCAACTAGGGTGATCCCCGAACCACGGAGGATCCCTCCTTTTAGCCACAGTATGTCTTCGTTTGGCACTCATAGCCCAATTTTCTGTACTTGTAGGTTTAGCGAAAATCAGAGATTTGATGAAGGTAGAAGGTCCTGGACAAGTTATGAGCCAGCACGACAGGCGTAAGTCTCCTTCGATAGCCTTTCGTGCATTCGACAGATTCTAGTCCACTAGATCCTTTGTCTATCGACGATGGCGTACCAGGATGACCGGCATCCTGGACTGTATCATGCACTCCAGATCGTGACAGGACCAGAATGTCAAGATCATACTTTCAGATACCGAGAATTGAGGATAGGCCACTCACTGCGTATCTCCCTCTTCTTGATGTCGAGGTCGTCCTTTCTGCGATTTCCACAGCCTTGCATCGTCTCTAATCGGGGACTGGGGTGCGGCAAAGAGAAGGCGCGTTGCCTAATGAAGGTTGAGTGCACTAGACCTGCTTCAAAGGCCTTGGCTCCCATCCTTCGCACTGACATTTATGAGCTCTATACTTCTCGTAATCGCTGTCTCAAAGCCGGCGACCTCATTAATCTCCTCACGAGGTCATTGGAGCATCTCAGGATGACGAATAGAGTGGAGGATTGTCCAAGATATGGTGCACGCTGTGGTATCCCATCCAGTAAGTAGTGCGTTCACGAGCTGGTCCCGTGCTAACGATCGACCTTGACACTCAATGTAAAGATCGAAAATAAAGGGATGCATTCCGTGGCCTCTTCTTGATCGTGCTCACGTGCGTACTGGAATGCCCTCTCGATAAAGCAGTCCGCATAGCGCCTGACGATTTTTAAGACTTTCTATAACTGAGAGGGTTGTATAGGAAGCTTAGACGTGCTAAAGGTAGTCATATGGCGGTAGCCCAAGTTCATTGTCGAAATGTTCAGCAAATTCAGTTTAATCTGCTTCTGACCGTGTCTCGGCAGATTCGCCAAAGAGTAGCGCCCTCGTCGTCGCAAGAGTAGAGATCCACTACGCCATTAGAGTGTCGAAAAGTCGATATCAGAGTCTCAATTTGATCAGTGAACGTCTCCAAGTCTCTAGCTTAGACTCGTGCGAGTTCTCGTTGGGGCATCTCTGGCGAATGCTTCCAGTCCGGGCCATCTTGGGTAAAGATGCCCTCGCCAGAGAATGGGTAACAGGTAGGCCTTAGCACTCCCAGACTCATGTCTCAATTCCCTATCACTCATGTGAGCTTAGATTCGGCCACAGGGGTGATGCACCTTGAAAATGTGTTAATGGGTTTCTGGGATAGCTTTAATGTTGCGAGGATCCGAGGTGAAGTACCCAACCAGACCAAACATGTACTCTGCAAAGGTTATGCCCATGCTCTCAATGAACATCAACGCATGATAATTCAGGACAGTGCAACATGTCTCTTATGATATTAAGAGCCCAGAGCCAGCGGTGTTTGATCTCGCTCCGTGATGGCTGACCGCCGTGTCTATTTGCGAATACCGCTTCTTCCTGCCCACTGTCAACATGAGACACTCCTCGATTGATCAGCTAACTTCACCTTCCTAACGTCGCCGGCGTGTATGGTGCAGCCACTTCACAATAATACCGACAAGTACTGTGAATAGCAACTTGTACATCATCCCTTCGGTATATTTGATCGCTGCCATTGTGATATAATAGCGCACTGGCAGTTACCCAGCCACATGGGCAGTTCGAGTCACGTGCCAATCACCTTATATCGTCAGCATGTTGCAACCTAGAACGAAGTAGTTTTCCTCTCTCTCTTAAGTCGACTCTATGAGTCCAACATGCGGAACAGCAGGGTAGCTGGAAAATTAGAAGATTCATGCGCTTAGCCAGGGGTTGTTTAGATTTAATAGCGCGTCAGAGTGTCTCACTGATCATTCCAATTAGGCCGCAATGAAAACATTTGCGACGGTTGGTCAGCTTGCCACTATGATTCTGGATCTGATATCACATTACAACAGCCAGGGCGTCTTGACCAGAACAGTAAAGTACCAAGATAGTACAGAGGACCTTGGGATGAACGCTGGGAATAGGGTGATGCATTCAATGCAACATCAAGCAGCAGCGTCGAGAGAAAACTCGAAAGAAGTCCGATGTGTCTTAAATACTACTTTCGGGTAGACAGAACGAGAAAAACTCGCAGGTCGTATTTACAACGGTGTCCACGAGGATCCAGAGAACGGCGCATCGGCGGGATTGGTGTTTCAATAGGAAAGAGTGTGGTGAACTTCAAGTTCGAGGAATGGGAATCGTATTGAGGTCACATTGGGAGAGGAGAATCTGGAGGATACAGTTACATATCAACACAATCGCAGTATAGGGACACGGCGGGTCAACTTGCAAGTCATAGCCTACCACGCCGATCGCAGCTGTGAGTGTTATACGCCTTGTCAATCTCCCTGTGGAAAAGATCCTGATGGTAGCAGCCAAGAAGAAAAATACAACTTAACGGAAGATGTAATGAGTAATCGAGTAAGCAGGACTCAGAAGGTAGATAATGGACGTGTGGCAGATCGAACAGGTAGTCGCTGGGGATTTCCATGTCTCTACTGCACACAAGTGAGCAACGTGCTCTTCGGAAAGGGTGGCTCGGGGTCTTTCTGGGTTCCGGGTTAGACCTGGGGTTTCTCACAGCTTCCACTGTCAGCCAACTGCTCTCTTCTCATGATTCATCCTTCTCTCACAGGCGCTCTCACAGCTCAATCTGCTCAAAGCTCTCCACCACTTCAAATTCGGCTCTCTCCGCATCAGAGAGCGGCGCGTTTCCTGGCCTGTCTACCACTGCCGCCTTCATGCCCGCTTTGGTCGCCGCGCGCACCTCGTTCACATTGTCACTCAAGAACAAAATCTCCTTCGGATCTCGGCCGAGCTCTGCCGCGATCTTTTCGTAGCTGCTAGCCTCTTGTTTGAGACCCGCATTTGTCGTATCAAACCACGCTTTAATGATGTCCCGCCGGTCAAAGATGGCCTTGGGATCGTTTGGCGAAGAGGGGTCTTTGATGTGTTGAAACAGAAGCTTTTGTGCGAAAATAGACCCGCTACTGTAAATAGTTATCTCTTTGCCGGGGCCGTTGCCGCTGCCGGATGTGGGAGAGGAATGCCAAGTTTCAAGAGCTGTCAGCACGTCAGGGTAAACGGGCGTCGAGTAGACATGCGTCTGATATCCATTTTCCCACAGATAGCCTGCTTGACTTCAGTATCGGCTTGTTGTGAGCTCGGAAGAGGACGCGATGAGCATGTTAGGCTGTGGCAGAGAGAAAGCTTTACCTTGTAAGTTCTTCAGGTAAGCAATCTTTACATCTCTCTCGGTGAGGTCTTTGACGTGGGCTTCAAATGCTTCAGGCGATGAGGTGGCTGACTCCGGGAAAGCGTCACGGTAGGATATGAAAGTCGGGTCATCCCACTTCGATGCTAGGACATCAGGGAGGGCTTTGAGGGCGTATGGGAACTTTTTCATGCGTATAAGTGCTCTAGTGCTTTGGCCATAGACTCGATTCTGAGAAAAAGAGCAGAGTGGACAACGGCACTTTCTTACCAGAGTGTCTTTCACGAAGGTGATTGGGCATATGGTGCCCTCTGATTGTTGTCCGGCGTTAGCCAATGTCGCATACAACATTGGAAAGTGCCACGATCAAATACCACCTACCTATATCTAGGAGGATGACCTCAACACCTTGGAATGATTTCTTCGGTTTCCTTACGGCGTGTTTCTGCTTTCGGCGGATTTTGGCCGGACGGCTATCGGTCGTCTTCGCAGCCGGGCTGCGGGAGCGCCTTTTCGTTGAACGCGTTGAGACCATTGTTTCAGCTGGCTTGGACGATGACGGGGAACAATACTCCCATTTGCACGCGTAGAGCTTCTTTTGCCATTAAGAAGAGGTTTGACCGACACAGCTGCACGGTCCGAAGAAAATTCATGGTGCAATTTTTAGTTCTGACTTTACCGCCAGGCCGGCAACGGGAAAACTTTTCACCACTCACGCACCCCCTTTTTGTCTCAGCCTAGCCTCAATTAAAGGGGAACGATTGAGATGGGGCCTTCCACCGAACTGGCGTATTCACTAGGCTGACCATACTTGGTGGGGGTCTATCCATGAATGGAATGTGGCAGCGAGTAAGCCATAGCACATAGAGCGCAGACGTGGCATTGATGTTCCCACAGCCTACCACTAATGGCAATAGGAGCCAGGGTTTGAGCCAAAGTCTGATACGGGTGATGAAGTCGTCGAAGGCGATGAACCAGAGCCTCTTGTGGTGAAGGTACCCCTATTCCACCCCGTATCAACGTAAAGCCTACACGGAGAATAGAGAATATTCATGCCCTTAGGCAATTTGTAGACCGCGCTACGACCCACGAGTTTTGAAACTCGACCCATACGGCACAAGGATTTGGTTGATCTTCCAGAGAGAAAGGAAATGATATCCGTCTTCAGTACCACATAATGAAAAGCCAACTCCCTGAAACTGAGACTGTGATTGAATTCCTCCCCAATACGATCCAATTTCTCACGCTTGCTTGGATGCCACAGAAAACAGAGCATGGCATGAAGATCATGGGAATACGGCCTTGCCTTCTTTGCTTTCTTCCTCTCTCTCTCTCTTCAGCATGGGCAATGGCTCTTATACGAGGCAACGTAGTGAGACATGATCTGTATTCGAAGCCTAACGCTGAATGTAGGATGGTTATTCCGTCCCCGAATCGAGGGCTCGTAGTTTCACCTTGAGATTACCGTTGAATCTGGGCGTGAATGCATCGGTCCAATCCATCATCTCATTCGCTGTACCGTCGTTGATTATATCGAACCTGCGAACCAGATGGGCAAATGTAGTGTAGAGTTCCGCATAAGCCAAGCTGGTTGATTAAACCTGTTAGATGCAATTCAAACATTTATCGCCGCTGAAGACACCAACATAGTAGAAACAGGAACGCGACTTGTTCTTGTCCATTTTAAAAGAAGCGAATGAGGATGGAACGTACTTCATTCCTATACAATTGCGACTTCCGCGTGAAAAGCTGACCATATGGTTCTCGAGCTCATCCACATTGTTTCCGAGCCAGCGTTCAGGTCGGAATGAGTATGGATCTGTAAATATTGCCGGGTCGTTGTTGTAGACGTAATGGGAGAAGGAGACGCGGGTCTGAAAGCTGAGTAAGACACTGCACGAAATGGTGGAAAATTCATTAAGCGGAAACATACTCCTGGAGCAATACTTTCTCCGCAGAGAACTGCACCACTTCGTGGCACGATTCGGGGGAGCCGCGCAGAGGTCCCCATGGAGAATCGAAGAGATTCTTTGATCACAGCTCTCTGGCAGCAGATGCTTAGTTCGACCCAAGCGTATCTCCGAGTCAACTTACAAGAAAAGGCAGACTCTCCAGATCCTTGAGGGGCGCAAAACTCTGCGCATCTGGCAATACTCCAACGACTTCTTCTCGCAACCGCGTCCAAAGCTCAGGCCTTTTCATCATCTCCCAGATGCCGAATGTCAGTGCATGAGCAGTGGTATCAGTGCCCGCGAGGAACATAAGAACGGCATCAGCCGCTAGTTCATTTGGAGTTGCAATATACTGCCCCTTTTCTCGGTTTGGATTGAGGGCCGTTCTGAAAATCGACGATGTCACCTCCTTCGAGTCGACCGGTGCTTGAGCCAGAGAAGTAATCAGCGCTCTACATTGCTTCTTCTGTCAGCTATGCAGCCATTTAGGAGGTCAGTTCAACTTACAGCCATCATATCCATCATGGACGCGGCAGCTGGAAAGCAAGTCTTTACCACTTTATGAGGCAATACTGAGAAAATCACTTTGTTCATGATATTGCCTATGTTAGGGAAATCTGCCCGGACAAGCATAATTAGCGCATGATTCGCTCGATTTGGTGTATCAACCATGTAAGACCGGGGTGCTTTCTCCATGAGATATGCCGTTCTAGGCATCGGCCGCATGTGAAACGGGAGCAAACTCACACCAGAAAAAGGGAACAATAGGTGCGAACTCATGGAGCTCAACAATCAAGTTGGGGCGGAAGCGGGGAGCATCGAGAAGGCCCAGGCTCATTTGATAGCAATAATACATGGTGACATCAGCTGTCAGGCAGTTCAAGGCCAAGTCGAGGTCGATGGTCCGATCCTGGTCTGCTTCAGCTTTCAGCCGGTAGAGGAAAAGCGCCACCTTCTTGTGAATCAGTGGCTCAAGTCCATTAATCTGGGCCTTGGAGAACGCTTGAACGAAGAGGTCTCGATGCGGTTTCGCCACTCGCCCGTTGCTGATGTTGAGAAGAGAGCCTTCGACTTGAGGCGCATTATAGAATTCGCGAGGGCGATCGAAGTCGGAGCCTGCTTTGAACACACTGACATCGTTAGCTCCACGGGTGTTACCAAAACATTGGTCACGGTAGCTTGCGCTCGATATGACTCCCAGTCGAAGATATGCAACTCATTCGGTCGAACTCTCACGATAGGCCCTGGTTCTTGTAAGTCTACGGCTTTTGAAATCAAGAACCTCGTGTACCATATTTGTCGTGAAGCACCTTTAAGTGCTTGACGAGCGAGTCTTTGGAGATCAGATCACGATTCACAGCATACAGATTGGTGACCGCGGCAATTTTAGGACCTGGAAATCGCGCCAAAGGATGTAAGGTGAGCCTGTAGACGGCCTTGAGGACAACAGCAGCTAGACACAGCCCTAAGCCGTACAGCACAAAGAATTGGAATGCCATCTTCCTTGAAGCAGGAGCTTTCTCGCGGGTTGAAGACACACTCTATCTAAAGGTCGTGAATGTTTGCGCAGCGTCTATATTCGAGGTGACTAGGTAAGTACCTATGTCAGATCAGGCCCCCTAGTTCGCATTCTTCGAATTTCCACCAACCTGATTAGCGTGGCCACTTCGCTCCACGCTAGCCCCCTGCTTGTTAGATTGAATCGGATCGAGGAGAATTCAAGCTTTTCATGAATCGAATACGGAGCACGTCGTACATAGGAATAGAGTTTTATAGATTTCACTGTATATACTTCATGGCCGGCTGCCCAGCCAGCTTCACTGGGAGGATATTGCAATCTTCCAGTCCGTTTAATCTAGAGAGATGCTGCTTACCGGGTTTTCCGGTGGTTGTTCCCCGGATTCCCCTTACGTGAGACATAGGGGATATGACCTCTGGAGTGGACCCCAAACATTCTGGATAAAGCGGTACTGTAGATGCGAGCTTACTACCACCTCGTACAAATAGCAGCCATGCCCGAATTTGGCAGTCATAAACAATTCACTTAAGTCCAGTAGGCAAACAGATTACAACCAAATTTGCAAGTCTAAAAGGATCAAGCCGAAACAAGGGCATAAGCCTCACTATTACTAAAAAGGTGCGAGAAGCGACAAAACTCGAGCCAGGACAAATAAAAACAGCATAATTAATGAGTGCGAAAAATCTAATTTAGTACACGTCTCCGAGAAGCACATTGCTCTTTCGGGGAAGCTTGGTGGAGGGATTCACATGGATATTGCACCTAATAGACTTGTTTCCTTTGCTATAATTTACCTCTCCCTCGGTACATTGAACACTATTTGGACCAAGCTCCTCTTTGCTCTCCATCTCCTCCCTGATCTCCGGCTTCCCCCTCGTCTTCAGGTCATCCAATGAAATTAAAGGACAAGCCCTCTGTTGTGTGTCGGTACATGGTGCCAGCATGAGATGGATGGTCGCGGAATCACTCTACTGTCCAGCAATACACAGTTCCGCCCTAAGGGGTGGGGTTCCGTAGTATTTGCCGCCATCATACGGGACGCCGGCGTTCGGCGCCGGGGGGTCGATGCGAACGGGATGAGTATACCCAGCACAGTCCATCATCTCATGCAACAGGGTTTGCACAATCTCATTGTCTCCGAGCGGCGATTGGGCCCCGACGAAGGCGCTCGCGTTCACCCTCGGCTCCTCGAACCGTCGAAACACTGTGGCTGATGGGTCTCCTATATGCCTGTTGAACGCGGTCCTTTTCTTGGGCAGATAGATTGCCACAACTTCCAGCGCGATAGTACGCCCAGGTATGACGTTCTAAGAGAGTGGACTTTTGAGTCGGAGTGATGGCGGGGTCAAATGTGAAGTTGCTGAGTAGCCCTGACTTGTACCATCGATAGAGTGGCACACTATTGGGTGCCGAAATGTCGTGCAGATAGCCTGTTATGCCTCTTCCTGATAACCTCCCTGCGGAGCAAGCCCACCAGCCGTGTTTGTGGTGTAGAAGTGGTCACCATTTGTTTGGTTGTACCAGCGGTACAGAGGAAAGGTGCTGACGATTCTTTCTCTGAACATGTACCATCCGACGCCCTCGTAGCGGTAGTTTTGGGGAGCAAACTCGCCAGTTGGGTCAGCCGTATAGAAGTGGTCACCACTGTCGGGGTCGTAGCAGCAGAAAATAGGTATGATCCCAGGCTGCTGGGAGCTGTAGACGTAGCCAGGAACACCTTCACGCTCATAACGGCCAGGCGCAAGCTCGCCACGGAAGTCAAGAGTGTAGAAGTGATCATCCAGCATGTTGATATCGTTCAAGTTGTAAAAAAAAAATTAGCAGAAGTTGGTGACAAAGGGCTTAAAGTGTGAAAGTGTAGCTCGAGGACGCCTTGGTAAGTATATCAAGGGCCGAGTGACCACCTTCCAAGGACTCCAGCAAGCCGACATACCTCACCTGACAGATTCAGCCTGAGAAACGAGTGCTCTAGACCCTTGGCGTGGGAATAATTGTTTCTCTTGTCGTGATCAGTCGAGTAACCTAGCATCTGTTGTCCACTCACAGGTTGCAAAGCCCCAAAGATGTTCTCAGGTTACACAAGCAGTATCTCGGCTGAGGTTTCTGGGACCAGAGCCGAGTAATTGTGACGATTCCTCTCTGGGTGGTTCGTATTTCGCATTTCAGTAGTCTCGGCTGGAAGAATTAAGCATTTATCCTATCGAGGTGCCATGGATCAGCCTGGAAGTGTCGCTGCGACTGCTTGTATCGTCTTGTCCTGTATAATCTGATACCTGGTAGCTCTGCACATCGCAACCAAAATGCATTGCATAACTCAGCTCGAAAAGCCGCCTATCGAAGCACTCTTCAGCACCGGCATGCCAATGACACTCCTCTCAGTTTATTCACACGTGAATCCCTTGCTCTTCGGATTTTGGGGGAAGGGATTGATCATGGGATCAAGGGTGCACCGGTTCCGAGTTCGAGCCTGTCTCGATTTCAAGTCAAACACGAACGTCTTACTCATGTCGCTGCCGGTTAGCGCTCGAGAGTATGTTTGTCTCCGCGGCCCGAGCACCCAGTTGTTAAGCAAGGCTGGCAATCGAAAACTCTTCCGTATTATATATATGTAACGAGAGCATGCTGTTCTGGGTGGTATGCAGTTGAAGTACCAAAAAAGTGGGAAGCGCCAATTCTGAACTGGTTGTCTCTTGGGTGGTATGGGCCGCAATTTCTCGCGATCTCGATCCCGACGGACAGAATTGGTAGTTGCCGTCACCAACACAGGCCTTAAGATCCAATCTGGGTGTGAAAGGAGCAACCTTTGGAAACAGAGCCTTATCCATTGTCTGTCGTCGGAATCAGTATGCCAGGTTCTTAAACTGTACCTTCGTAGAAGGCCGCATAAAGTCCCTTCCCCTCGAATAGAGGCGTTTGATGAGGAGTGAAGGGAAAGGGCTAGGAGGCTGAGCAGCAGACTGGTCTGCCCAAGAAGTGCGATAAGGCTAAGCCAAAGTTAAGGATGGCTGTGCCAAGAAAATGGCTGCCAAGGCCTAGGCTTGGATTTCTTGGCGGTGTAAGCGTGCCACAGTTGTAAACCCTGTCTTGACCCCGTTTGACCTCCCCTCTCTCCATTTTCCCTCACCCCGCTACGAAACTGACCCGTCCGCTTGGCGTATAGTTGCGTATGCGAAGACGAAAATCCTGACCGAGGACTGGGAACAAGCGGCGACCACGGCGTCCCTTTTGCAGAGGCAGCGGGTGAGGAGGCCAGCTGATATCATTTGCAGACTCTGCGGTCTAGACGTCAATGGGCACTCGTTCTTCATCAACGGCCGGGAAATGGGGTTCTCGCCGCGGTTTCGTTTGTCTAGACTTGAACAGCTCAGAAATACTGCTGCAGGAAATCCAGAACGACCTGATCAAGGCGGTTTTTCTACAGTCCTCTTTGGTGAGGAAATCCTGGTGGGCGGGTCGGTCCCCCTTTGTTGGGATTTGTCTGAACGGTGCGCTCAACCGGCAACAACAGTCCGATAAGTGTCATTCTTTATGCTTAATGACAATATCCAATTGAATTATCACTTCCTCGACTCCGAATCTCTAGGTCCGCCTTTCCGGGTCGACAAAAACTACCCTAGTTGAAGTTGAGCTGTCAGTCGCTATCGTCCAACGTCGTCAGCCATCTGTCTATGTTGACAATCATCTCGCTACCCAGTGTGCGAGATCACGCCGACTAGGTCCCCAGAAATAAAAGATTAAACACAGCCAACGCCAAAAGAGTTCCGAGCCCGAACAGACGATTTGGTGGTTCCGCCTCGCTGGTGTACGTCGTAGAAGCAATAGTGCCGCTTGACGACATAGACGTTAATGATTGTGCTGTCGTGCTCAGCGACACCGCAGGGCTCGTCGGTGTGACCGAGATAGCGAGTGAAGAATTGACCCCGGTTGACGATGTCATTGTCGATGTTGACGTTGGCATTGATCCGCCACTCCCCACGTACGGAGGAGTGGTCAAGTTAGCGCTCAGGACGCTCTGGATTGTGGCTGCATCAGCAGAAGGCGCCACTACTGTTAGAGTCGCTAGAACAGTCACCGTGTGCATGGCCGAATCAGTGACCTATTCCGCGTCAACCGAGGCAAGCTCCCAGATGGAATGGCGGAGCAGGAGAGAACAAACCGGAGATGCCGACGACGAGCTACTTCTGGAGATGGCCGCGCCTGTGCCTCCACCCACAGTGCTCGAGGTCGCTGAACAAGTCCAAAGGACCCCCTGTGCGCCGCCCGACGAGCTCGCCAGGCTGTCTGTCCCAGCGCCATCGTCGCTCTGATCAACCACCCAGATCAAATTGCGATCCCACATCTGCACCCTCGCATCCACGCTCGCATTGCAAAAGGCCCGGTCATCCAGGTTCACAATCTCGTCGATCGACCCGCCTTCGGACCCCATGCAACGGCTCTCCAGGCACGCACCCAAGGTCGAGCGGTACGAGCAATCCGTGCAGATGCACCTCCGCAGTCTAGTGTTGGGAGAATCGTCAACGCCCGTGGCATTGCCTCCGCCAGAGAGGATGGAACCGCAGGACCCGAAGGCCTCAAGGAGCGAGGTGCTGAAGCATGATTGCGCGCATGTGGAGAGTTGGGTCCAGTTGGTGTAATGTTGGGCCCGAGCTGGTTTCGACAATACAAGCATGCCGGCGAGGAACGTCTTGAGAAGAGGAGCAGGTACAGTCATTCTGTTTGCTAGCCACTGCCAGGTATCTGTTTTGGTTCTATCTTCGGGCGACAGTAATCGGGTGAGTATAACGTACCAAGATTTAAACTGGCGTTGGATTCCTCGATCGATATAGCATATTAGTAAAGCCACCGGCGAAGGAAAACATGTCAGCAGACAGCACGAATGTCACCGCCATCCTCGTGTCTCGTGCACCAGACCAAGTGACGAGGAAGAGGCCGAGACCGCTGTTGCGTTTGAGGTGTAACTGTTCGATAGTATGTGAAGAGGTGGCGGCTTCACACCTGCCTGCACGCTACTAAAAAGGAAAGTGAGAGATCGGTTGTGCAGAGTCATGGACTCATCATTACCCCTTGATGACCATACAAAACTCGTCATGAGGCCCTGGCCTCACATGGTTCATATCCATTCACTTTGGTCAACATCCGGACTCCAGCAGCCAAAGGAGCCTAAGTGGTTTCCCGCGTTCACAAGACATTCAATACTCAAATTAAATAGCCTCCTATTACTTGTCTCAGGCTACTATGCGATTCGCTTCTGATACTCACAGACCAAGTATCAGAACCCATACGGTCGTCAGCAGGCATGTTGCAAAGATCGCTTCGTACCGAAAGTCCAGTATTCCCACACCGCCGGTCTGGGTTGGCACTGCGTCTGTACTTGTACTTGTACTCTCACTCGTCCGAGAAGTGATTGAGGTGATGCTACCAGTAGTGACAGGAGTGCTAGCATGGGTTGTCACTGGCAGAGACTGAGATTTCGTTTGTGTTTGTGGGCCTGTACTGGTATTCACATCACTACTGCCGCCGATGCCACCGCCATCGCGGGTACTTTGACTGGTGCCGTAACCATCCCCGCTACTGCTATCACTGCTTTCGTAGGAGGACCAGCTGTTGCTGCTCGTGATTGACCCGGCTGATGTAAGAGTCACTAGGGTAGGATATCCTGGGCTGAAACTAGATTGCTGCGCACTTGTTAGGCCCGTCGAAATCGCGATGCTGCTTTTTGTGCTCTCCCAGGCTTGAAACGTGCTTTGGCATGCACCCGTGAAAGCGGATGTGAGTGTAAAGTGCAAAGTAGGAGCTCCGGGAATGCTTGTTGGCAAGCTCGAGGTGATAGTAGTTGTTACGTAAGATGTGCTTGTGATTGAGATTGTGATTGCCGTGTTCCGATAACAGTGTGGACTCTCGAGGCAGCGAGATTCAACGGTGCTGGAAGTATATACGCTTGGGGCGGAAGGGTGAGGCGACGATGGGACTTGTGAATGTGTGGAATGGGTAGAGGGGAAGATAGAGGCAAGAGGTGTTGCAAAGGAGGGGTCGGAAGAGGAGGCAAGTGAGGGAAGAGGATAGGCTGGAGCCGAATATGGAACAGAAGGAGCATAGGAAGAGGAATTGATCGCAGAAGTGCACGGAAAAGAGACTGGGTCTGAAGCAGAGGTAGAGGGAGTAGTTGTAGAAGAAGAATCAGCAAAGAGGCTGGAGAAAGAAGTGGAGCCAGGGTCTGAGATCACTGAGCCGGCCTTTGAAGCGTCAGAAAAGTCGTCTCCCATGGAATGATCTATGAAGCCTGAAAATTGCATACCTCAGTCGTCGGTGCAGGGCAATTCAGGTTGATGCTCGTAGAAACAGTCGCTCCAAACGCACCGCATACAGCCCATAGCGGGTGTAGCCCTCCCCAGGAGACCGCCGCGTCAATAGACTGATTGCAGAAGACCTGGTCGTTGGTCATTAGGATTTGATCTGTGATCGTCTGATCACTGCATGGGCTTGATTTGGAGAGGCACGATCTCAAAGTGTTGTTATAGGTGGAACTGGAGCAGGTGCAGACGCGAATAGATAGTCTGCCCTCTGCCTGCTTCCCGCAGTCGCTGGTGCTGGACATGAAAGCGTCGTTGAAGCATTGTTGTGCACATGAGGGAAGGTCGTCCCAGCCATGAAATTGGGCACATGTGTAGACCGCAGCGAGCAGAATCAGGATCAAAATAGTAGATTTTGCAATAGCCATAACGCTGCAAAGAGAAGAAATGGTTTATCGCGAAATTAGAATGATGGGCTGAATGGTTAGAAGAGCAAGGGAAGGGTAGCGCGCAAACAAGAGGACCGAGAACAACGGGGTTGATTTGAGAAAAAAAATAAACAAGAACTTATAGACAGAGAAACAAAGTCCTCATGACCAACATTGGAGCGTAGAAACACTGCCTGGGATTTGATCTCGAGGATAGTGATTACCGTACGCTGCTGTGATGCCATAGCAATGTGCCATGCTCAAGTCGGTAGAACAAGGGCAAGAAATAAAGCCCCGTGACATTTGGGCGCCGCTCCTGTGCACGAAGTGCTGGAGACAACCCATAACAATCCATCGTAAGAATCAAAGACAGTAGGTAACTTCTTCAGAGAGTCGGCGATCGCTCAATCCCCCGGAGTTGGAACTGGGTTCAATGACATGATGCGACGAGTTAGCCGACGTGGACGTCTGTCGGGGGGGTTCTGGAAGCCTGTATAGGAGGGGGAGAGTAAATGGCATTGCCACTCGGAAAATTATGTATGTATGATTCCTTCGAGGAAGAACGCATTGCGCGACGAAGAGCGAAACTCCTACACACGGAAAGGCGCCGTCCCACCCACCGGAGATATCTTGCAGAGCTTCATGAGATGCACAACATTGTCCGTGTGACCTTGATCTGCGGGAAGGCACTTATCCATGGCGAGTCACTGATGGAGAGGTCCGAACCTTAGAGTACCAATCCGTAGTCGAGTTGTTGATTGTGCGACCCGGGTTTCAACCTTCAAGTACTCCGTAACAGTATCATTGTGCATCTTCTCTAGTTGTCGTGATATCCCAACGCCGAGCTCATCCGATATCCAACATCCAGACCGCTTGAGCCTTCGAAGAAGGGGAGAACGTTGGAATACGGCCACCGAAATACGCAGTCGTTCTCGCGTCAGTGGAATATCCTAGCAACAAGGATCCATGTCACGAGGAGGCATATTCCAAATTCCACGGTCTTCCAGACACCAACACGAGCACGAGCTGCGCTATTGACCGATCCTGCAACGATAACGGTAGGTGCTGAAGACCCGGTCCAAGTGCCATTCAACATGCGGCTGGATGAAATAGCGCTTGCGAGTTCCACGACAACAGTCGACGTGCTTGTAAACAAGCTCTGAGAAGGGATTGCGGTCACAGAGCTCGAGTTAGCGCATTTGGTCGAGGTTGGGTCGACTGACATGTTAGTTGAGATGAACGATTGCGAAGTTGAGGACATCTACAGAATATTAGTCCTTCCAACCATGCAGTTGGGTTTTCGGAGTGATATGGTAACATGCCTGCGTCTGATCAGAATCCGAGATTGTGGCTGGTTCATCGCCTCCGGATGCTGATCCCAGTGTGACGGTCATGGCGCCCTTGATCACCGTGTATTTGAAACCACTGTTGGCGGAGGCGTTGCAGAAGACACGATTCTTGAAGATCTCGACATCGCTGTTGATAGGATTCGAGTCACAAGGTACATTGGTCTGGAGACAGAAGTCAAACTTCTTAGCAACGTCAGTATTCCGACAGAAGCAGTCAAGCGACACATCCGTGCAAGTCGAGAGAGAAGCATTGATTCCCTTGGTGAAGCAGTCTTGCTGCAAGGATTGTCAGTTTGGGATAAGAAACCACATCTCCTTTTGGCATATGCTGGGCTTACTGCGCAGTAGGGAAGCCCGGTCCAGCTCTCGTAGTTCGCAGCCGCGAATTGAGGGAAGATGGAGGGTAGAGCAGAGAGCAGGACGAACAATTTGAACGCCATCATGTGGTAGGAGGTGTGATAAGAATGTTTGTCGACAGAGGTACAGGCTGGCGGTGGAAAAGTTGTCCAAGGCAAATGATAAATCGTTGGACTGAACAGTCGTTGGCATGATCTCGACTCTTCACCGTCACCGAGACCATCACCGTTAACAGCATCACATGATTACCATTTTCCCTTCACCAGGTCGAACAATGTATATTGTACTTTCGAAATTTGTGTCTGATTACACTGAGCCTGTGTCAACAGATGGGCAATGAGGTGGACCCTACCTCTTGTAGCTAAGCTTGAGGAGAGAAGCAAAAACCCCACTCAAAACAGCAGGGGTTTCACTTACCACAGACCAGAATCCAGACCCACGGGTCGAATCTGCTCTGTGGAAAAGTTTTTGCCCTTGCACTTTCGTCGAATTTGGTATGTGTGTGTCAGAACGGTGCGGCATGGGTTAGATGGCGGTCACGAAGGAGCAAGGGAATCAGGGGGCCAGATGAGAGAAACGGTGACAAAGAGCCTTCCATCTTCAATGCCATTGAGACATAGTGCCAGGTCAAATGAGCGAAGGGAGGTCACCCGTTCATACCAGAAGAGGTGCTGTCAGTCCTCTTTATTTCGGGCTTCCATTTCAGGACCCAGCCATTTTGACGAAGCTGAGAATATCGCATGATAAAAAGGAACATATCACATACATCACTAGCCTCCGCTATGAGCATCAGATCAAGCACCCATCCAATCTTCAAGTAAACAGTGACTTCTCCCACCATGCACATCTCTGGTTTGAGGTATCATCTTTGACCCGCTTTACCGTGGTGGATATAGAATTCATACTGGCATTCTGGCCCTGCATTGGGAAGGGCGGCAGCCCATTTCCGTTTGGGTTGCTCGTCATGATGAAGTTGGTAAGGTAGGCTTGAAGGGTTTTACCAACAGGCGCAATCATATCCTGCGTCAGGTTGGTGGGCTGACCGTTGTAAAACGTGTAGGGCACATCAAATCCATGAATGCCCGGCGGAACTGCGAATTGATAGGCGTAGGTTTGGTTGCCGTATGCTTTATTGAGGAAATAGGTGTTGCAGGTGAAGGAGGTCTCGGTGATAAACAGGATTGTCCGCTCGATAGGAGAGTTGTAGGGCTGGCTTCCATCATATTTTGCCGGATACAGTGTTTTCACAATGTAGTTGACTGCGGGAGCAGGGGTTTCAGGGTTCAGCGACAGTATCATGGCCTCCAACTGATCGTCGGTTTGTACATTCGGTGGCGTAAAAATGGGGCCTTCGCTGAGCATATGAGAAACCATGACGCTAACATTCTTTGCAAATTGCCCTGCATTGAGAAGGGTCCCCGGCAGCGCCGGCACAAATACTCCATCAACCACTGGCCCGTAAGTGAACGTTCCATAGGTGGACGCTCCCACTTGAAGTGCGTTGGCTTTGATCACGGCAGCCGAAGATAATTGCCTGGCTTCCTGGATAGTGCTGACGTTCAGCAAAGACAGAAACGTCTGGGTGGTGTTTTCTTGGACGAAATATGACGGCGTCGGAAGATAGCCAGGTGATTGTGGGATGGCTTGCTGGAATGGGACCCCCTTTTGGCCTCCATAGGCGGTGATCTGGTGGACGACTGAGCCACCTCCAGCGGACTCACCCATGACGGTGACTCGCTTTGGGTCGCCGCCGAACAGATGGATGTACTTCTGAACCCATTCCAGAGCGAGACGCTGATCGTAGAGACCGGCATTGGACACACCTCCAGCAGCCTGCAAGGTAGGACCAGCAAGCCAGCCCATCGCACCCAGTCGATAGTTCATGGCCACGAAGATGATACCCTCTCCACCACCGACCTGGCTAGCCTCAATGAGACCACTAGGGTTACCAGATGATCTTTTCCACCCTTCCGTGTAACCACCACCGTAGATCCTGTCTCTGGTAAGCTAAGTATTTCGAGAACATTGCCTAGACTCACCAGACTACCACCGCAGCGCCCGCGTTCTGACGCCTCCTGATTCTGCTTTTGGAGCCGTCAAAGATCTTTTTGGGCACGATCACATCCAGGAACAGGCAGTCTTCCGAGATTCTTGGATCTGGCTGGACAGGTTTTGCGTTTTGTAACGCAATCTGAAGTTGCTCTTCGGCTTTGGTGAGGTTGAAAGATGATGCATTGCCTGCTAACAAATATTGAACAAACTCTGTAGAAATTGGAGACCATGCAGGGGCAGCTTGAGGACAGATCCTCTCGACACTGCCATTCTGCACGACACTGTTTCTGCCGGTAGGTGGAACGGGAGCAGCAAAACGAAGATCACCTATGGGAGGCTGGGCGAATCGTATGTTTGAAAAGTTGTAAGTTTGCCCAGTTTGCTTCAGAGAGGCGTCAGTATGAGCAAGGCTCTGGTGTTGACCGCCGAAAGACATACATTGAAGCTGATCGCCTTGTGGATTTCGTATCCAAGATCAACCTGAGGAAGATTACTCTGCGCGCGAGCAACAGAACAGAATACAAGCGTAGTCACCGCAAGCGAGAGAGTAATGGAGGATACCATCGTGAGAGTAAAGGAAGAACATGCCTCTGGAGGACTCGAGGGAAATTCCAGAAGGGAGGTCTCGAACGAGGGGAAGAGGGCATATTCAAATACTTCTTGACCGCCGCTGTGTTGGAGAAGCTTTGGTTGAAGCCGCCGACTGGAGCCACGGTTGACACGGCTCTTGAAAATCCATCAAATGTTGGGTTACACAAAATCCGAGAGCATTCGAGCTTCCCAACCAGGAAAAAGCTCACCCTGGACACGGTAATTATCTCCACGGCCCAAATACGCTGGTGGGTGATTTCGAATCTCTGGTATGAGTGAATGCAATAGATGAATGGACAGAATCTGCCTCGGTAGCCTGCCTTGGCAGCATTGCCAGGATGATGGGTCAGTGCATTCGGTTCGCCTCTTGCCTCCCATTTGCCATAATGAGTGTCGATCAGAAAACAGGCGCTGAGATAATTTGGTGCGTCGACGTCAGTGCCAGTGGTACGTCAAACCTAGAGCCAAGCGGAGCAGGAAACATGTCTCTCTCCGGACTCACTCCGAGCTTAAAAGGGTGGTTGGCTGCGAGGTCGAGTGTCTTGCTCCCACGCTCAGCTGGTTGTGCAACTAACTAGCGGTTCCCACAACCTGTTTTGGTGGTAATGAGATCTATCAACGAAGCCATTGTGGAGAAGCTTCGAAGGATATTAGGACTGCGGGGTAGTGCATGCGGTGGTCACAGTCTTCGGCAATGTCAAGGCAACGCTTGTCGGCTCATTTTCCATCCGAGAGAACGTAGCAGGTGGCATTTCTTGAGCTGATTACGCACAGCGCTGGTGGTGCTGGACAGGTGACGGTGGTTGCAGCTCAACAGAAGAAGTCAAGCAAACAAGTCAGAATAAACCTGGTTGAGGCCTGCCAAGAGAATGAACCTTAATCTCGAATGATGAGCTAATAATACAAGGGGCAGCACGAGGCGACGAGGCTGTCTCTACGCACCGGTTTCGCCAACACACGCCCACAGCGGCAATCGGCCTCTCCCATCCTCCTCCAGGGCTCTTTCACTCCTCTAACGTGTCCAGATACCACCAGAAGAGCTTCTTGAAGGTTTGCACCCCACGCTGCCATCAGAACACGCACCGCGATCAATCTTGATCAGGAAGGTCGACTTCTCTGCCACACCTCGTCCGCATTGGCCTTGCCTTTGCTTTCGGGGACAAAGACGGCCACAAAGATAGCCCAAACCCCAGCAACTCCCACGAAGATCCACCACACATTGATTCCAACTACCTTGTTCAAGATAGGGAAGAACATCGCCACTAAGAATGTCGATACCCAGTTGCCTGCAAGTGCCCAGCTTGAGACAGCTCCAACAGCCTCAGGTCCGACAAGTTCACTCGATAAAATGAACGGAATGGGTCCAAGTCCAATCCCAAAGCTGGCCACGAATAGTGCAACGGCAACGATCGTGAGGGCTTGAATATGCTTTGCGAGTCCCGCATACAGCATGCCCGATGCCGAGCCCATTCCCACGATCGAAATAAGGAGACAGGGCTTTCGACCAATTTTGTCAGGTAGAGGGGCTGCTAACAAGGTGACGAGGACATTCGCCCCCGAGACGATGACTGTGACGAGGCCAGCTTGTTTGGGCATGATCTTGCCCAGAATGGCGACACTGTACATGACAACGCTGTTGATACCACAGAGTTGTTGAGCCATCATGGTGCCCGTCACCGCAACCAAGGGCCGTCGGTACTTCTGCATTCTGACGACATCAATGATGGATCGGCCGGGTTCTTTGCGCTGTCGATAGCTTCTCGGGGCTCCAAGAAGGCTTTCCTCTTCAGCTTCACCCGACATCTCCCAGTCCTCCATCTCCTCCCGGATGTCTGCCGTCTTCCCTCTGAGGCGCTGCAGAACACCTCGTGCCATTCGCGGTCGATTGTTTGCCGCAAGCCATTTCGGAGTTTCTGGCGTGAGCGTGAGGCCGAAGAACATGAGTCCGGCAATGAAGCCGCCGGCGGCTAGGACCCAGCGCCATTTGTTGGATTTGGACAAGAAGAATCCAAGGAGTTGTGCCACAACGATGCCAAAGTTGATTTGGACCTGGGTAAAGGCCCCGAAAAAGCCACGGCTCGTTGGGGGCGATACCTCGGAGATGTAGATAGGAGATACAACGGTGGCCGCACCGGCTCCAAGTCCAGAGAGAGCTCTGCCCAAGGCCATTATCCATATTTTACCCGCAAGTGCTTCGGCAATAGGTCCGCCAGCCAGGAAAAAGGAGGCCCATTTCAAGGCAAAGAGTCGTCCGAATCTTGTGGCGACGGCACCACTCATAATGGCTCCGAAGAGACCACCGACAGTAAACATAGACTGCACCATCCCCCATTGGAAAGCGTCCATTCGAATGCATTGAGGGAGTCCTAGGGCGACATATCCAGGGATTCGGTCGACTTGACAAGTGATGACCTTCTGAGGAGCGTTGAGTTCTCCCTGATGTCTGTCAGTCCTATCAAGACTACAGCTTGTAATCCGAGATTTACCAAGTGGTACCCAAAGAGCAGAGGGCCAAGCGTGACCACGTAGACGCTATAGATGAGCAACAGCGTGAAGCCTCTAGGCACTGGAGATGCCATCAGGCCCTTGGGGGGCAGGATTGGGGCGAGGTCGGCCTGCCTGGGGGCCCTGTAGCCACTGTTGATTCTGGTCAGCATAGCTCGATCCATGTCGGGGTGACAGCTGTTGATGGGGACCCAGAACCAAATACTTCCAGGAAGACAACTCACCCTTATAATATGGACTCGCAGACGATAAGACACGATCAGATACTGGTTCCAATGATGTAGATTGTGGCGTAATTGTGCAGTAACTCAGCCCGTAGGCAGCAAGATTGTTTTGATTCTCCATGGTTGATTGAGAAGGAAGCGGCGGCCTCCGATGAAAGGCAGAGGAGGAGAGAAGGAGTAATTGGGCGGGAGGGAAGAAGGAAGTCGGTCCAGCGCCAAGACTCAAACTGGGGAAAGTGCAGCCGTGCCGTGGCCTTGTCGCAGCTCATTGGCCGGTTCGAAAATGCCAAGTCGTACATGACCTCGATGGGCTTCGTACCGACGATGGCAAACGGCGAGGCTTTCGTTTTGAACCTCGTTTCACTCTCTCGTCACGTCGATCATCTCGCCTCTGTAAGGTTTATGCTTTCAAGTTGAAGTGCGCATCTGACTATCCACCATCGTTTTTCAGATTCCCATCTCAGATCTAGTTTCTAGCAGGATCTACCTCTGTCCTGATCTACTGGACTCTTTCTTTGCCCCCTCGGCTTTGGCCCGCCGGCCGGCGGAATCGGTCGGACTCTGCCTGACCATCATCGTGGAAGACAGCCTCACCGGGGTTATGGTGTAGAGGATATGAAAGCTCCTCATTCGATTATGTCGCTAATGCCGTCCTGGTCACGGTAGATTGGAAAGTTTGTGTTTGAAGCACAGAAAACTCGAGATCTCGTCAGCTACATTGGACGATATGTCGATTCCTGGCATGTCCCGCCCTGGCACAAGTCTGAATATCGCCCAACAGCTACGCAAGTCTACTCAGTTGGCTTTAGAAGGTACGACTGCCTTCCTTGGTTCTCTTCTGGGGTCTATTTCTGCCATTGGCTGGACCCCACAGACTGCAGCAAGCTGACATAAATGATTAGATTCTGGCCGAGGCCTTGACAAGAAGCAATCCGGGAATAACTACACAACAAAGGTGAAAATCGGCCACAAGTACAATATTATCGGTTTCATTAGCAGTGGCACATACGGTCGAGTCTACAAGGCTGTGGAGAAGAACCCGAAGGGCGATCCCTCCAGCCCTGTAGGAATATCTCCACCGAAGGAACTATATGCCATTAAAAAGTAACACCCCATCTCCTTCTATCCAGGATTTCGCGTTGACCTCTCACAGGTTCAAGCCAGAGAAAGAAGGCGACAATGTACAATATACAGGGCTGTCTCAATCCGCCATCCGGGAGATTTCGTTGTGCACTGAGTTGTCTCATCCAAACCTGGTTCACCTGGCCGAGATCATCCTAGAAGATAAGTGTGTCTTCATGGTCTTTGAATACTGTGAACATGATCTTCTCCAAATCATCCACCACCACACCCAGCCGACCAGACGCCCTATTCCCGCCACCATGATCAAGTCGATCTTATTTCAACTTCTTAACGGCCTGTACTATCTTCACCAGAACTGGGTGATCCACCGCGACCTGAAGCCGGCCAATATCATGGTCACCAGCTCTGGACATGTGCGCATTGGGGACCTGGGACTTGCCCGGCTTTTCCACAAGCCTTTGTCATCCCTGTACTCCGGTGATAAAGTTGTGGTTACTATATGGTACCGGAGCCCCGACCTTCTTCTGGGTGCACGCCATTATACGCCATCGATTGACTTGTGGGCTGTGGGCTGCATCTTTGCCGAACTTCTGAGCCTCAGGCCAATCTTCAAGGGAGAAGAGACTAAAATGGACAGCAAGAAGACGGTGCCTTTTCAGAGGAATCAGATGGGTAAGATTGTGGAAATCTTGGGTATGCCACGACGGGAAAACTGGAAGGGATTGGTGGACATGCCGGAATATCCACAATTGCAGTCACTGATTGTTTCCCGTGGTGGTATGCCGGGGGGCTTATATCCGACCCCTCCTACATCTCTGAATCGCGGATCTGGTAGCAACAATGGGAGCGGCCTGGAGGCGTGGTATAACAACTGTATCCGGCACGCAAGCTACCCGCCAGAAAAGTCTCCAGGTCAACGTGGGTTCCAGCTTTTGTCTGAACTGTTCGAATACGATCCCGATCTCCGATTGACGGCAGAGCAAGCTCTCCATCACGAATACTTTAGAAACACCGACGATGGGCCGAACAAAGGCAAAATCTGGGTCAGTAATAACTGCTTCGAGGGGCTAAATGAGGTATATCCGCACAGAAGGGTAAGCACGGAAACGAATGACATTGGGACTGGCAGTTTGCCGGGCACGAAAAGAGGGGGTTTGCCGGACGACACTCTTCTCCCGGCATCAAAGAGGAGATAGCGACTCCAAGAAGCGGTGCCGTGGAATGCGCCTTAGTGGAACGCTTCTTAGAGGGCGCTAGGGCATGATATAGCAGCATCGTTGGCCTATGGCAAAGATTTGAGGAGTCGATGTGCCCTCGGTCTTGTCGCGATGGAATGACGAACATTTTCGATGAAGGGGTGCGAAACATCATGTGCCTTTATGACTGACTGGGAATCCTGGAGTTAGTATACCTTATGGATCTGCTGGCACCGGCCGGGGCTGCATGTGGGCCGCATTGCTAGCATTTAGCCATCTTGTTCAGGTTCAGCATTGACCGGCCAGGGGTATTTCTTGCAAGAATGCATTTTTGGATTGTGATTGTGATTGTGACCAGAGCTCATTTATGCTTTTTCTTTTCCATGGGTCTTTCTTTGCATTGTCATTCCGCCATTTTCGTAGCACCGAGGCCCTGTCTACCAGTTGAACATGCTCTCGTCTCGAACTGCCATTGCCACTGCCATTGACATCGTAGGAGAAAGCCTAGAACATCACAGGTACGGTTCCTGCACCCGGCCTCTGCAAAGGGCAAGTCAACCGTGCCCGGAGTTCTTCAATACGCATCGCACCAGATCCACGAAGAAAGGCCCATCAGTGCCCCGTTCTCCCGTCGTCCATGCGCACCGATATCCGAGAGGACCCTCATGCCTGCGCGGTCTTAGCGGCCTGCTGGGGGTTGACCTTCTTGCCATCTTTGTTGTATCGGACCCTTGGGGGTGGAGCGCGGTTTCGGCGGCCTTCGCGCGATCGGACACGAACGATCTTGCCGTGGATGGCGCACGAAACGCAGTACTGGAGCTTCAAGTACATCTTCGGGACGGCGTAGTCGGCGAATACGGACGCATCAGAGATATCACCTGTTTTTGGCAACCCATCCTGTCAGATACGCTATTTTTCCTCACATATTTCTCGGTATACGTACGGATTGCTGCCGACTCGACCATGTTGCGGATCGTGAATCGTTTCACAGCCTATTGACATATCAGCAAAATGAATCGTCCGTTGGAATAAAGCAAAACCCCCCTTATCTTTAGGTACACAGCGCGAGCAATTCGAGCACCTGACGGGCTTGACTCTGCCTCTGCCTTTCTTGTTGCGACCACTGGTGGTGTTAGATACGTTCAATCCAACTCGAAAGGTAGGCGTACTTGGAGGCTCGTTTCTTGACCATGTTGAGTTGTAGTGAGACAGTAGTGAAAGTATCGAAAGTGTATTAACCGTGGTAGGAGCGTTGCAAAAGCGGTGGTGGTGGAGGACGTGGTGAGGCCGGTATGAAAGTTGTAGAGAACAAGGCGCTCAAGTGTCATGCGAATAATGTGAAAACTGGAAGCTGCATTTTCGCGGTTCAGTGGGTGCCAAGTATGACACCCGCAGCTAGTCCAAAAACAGTTAGGCGCAGCGGGGTACTGGCGAGTCTCTTTTGACTTGGCAGGAGACGAGGCTGGCTTCTTTCAAGGCTAACTGCCCTAAACACCCATCCATCAATGGGCTGCCATATTCCGTATCATTTACTCCGTACACTGACCGAATACCATCGGATGAATCTCGGCTGCTTCTGGTGCAAGTATCAAGGGTTTTTTGCTTTCAGGATACTTCACATGCCATTAACATGGCAGACAATTGCTTTCAACACTCTAACCAAACTCGACAAGTTCCCGCGCGTATCTGTACAATCCATTCTCGAGAAGCAATGGTCTTGCTATTTCTTACATTACAACATTGCGCCCGACCAGAGCCAGGAGATCCGTCTTTTCCGTTTGTGAGGTCTCTTCCCTGGCGTGAGGGCCCCAGAGCTCACTCCATGCGCAACTTCTTCCCTTCTCTTTCTCTTTCTGACGTCTCTCCTAATCCTGCGGAACCACCCCCTTTCTGCCGGCTTGTGTCTGGAGACCTCCTCTTAGGAAGAGGAATGTGTCTTGCCATTTGCCCTGGCCCCCTCCCTGGCCCCTTTACACGCTACACTCGTGCATCTGCCGGCGAGCGCCGAGGCCACGTAAACCCAGGGCTGGAGAGGGAGGCACAGAAGGAAGAGAAAGAGGAGGAAGAAGACGAAGACAGCGATGACGGCAATGACGATGACGACCATGATGCCGCCCACAATGCGCATTTTCAGAGAATACATACTAACAGATCTTTAACATAAAAACCAAAAAATCACCAAAATCTAAACTACAAATCACCACCTGCTTGGGAAGATGTAAGTGCAAGGGCTCTCTCACTAGACTGCAATCGCAATCAGTCTTTTCATCTAGTCCATGGATTCCAGGCTGGCTCACTCCCACTAGTAGCTACGGTCCAAAGTCGGTCGGCTTTCCGCCCTAAGAGTCCAGATTTCCAGTTGACGGACCAAGAGAAATCGGAGCCAACACAAGACCAAGTTGAACACAAAATCGTCGGTTACACGTTCCCAAACTTACCGGAGGAATATCAGGCCAGATGCCCTAAGGGGGAGTCTAATTGGCACACCGGGACTGAATCTACCTGCAGAGAATGACAAAACGGCTGTCTCACCTGAATCGGGTGGGAATTCAATCACTTACTATTGTCAGTGAATGGCTATTCAACTACCAAATCATTATCTTCGTCATTGACGATTGAGACGGCCTGCCAATGTAATGGATCGAGGCTGTCTTTGTACTCGCTGCGACTCGAGGGCGAGCCGCTTTTTGGAGGGGGGCAACTGTCACGAGCCCACCGTTGTCCCCAAGTACCCTACGCCCTCCACCCGAATCGGGTGGACGGTGTAGAAAGAAAAGGATAAGGCAAAGGATGGTTGAAGCACAAGCTAAGGAGAGCTAAAGCATAAGGCTATCAGTTGACAAGGCTATTGGTTAACGCCGCCTTACGCTTTTCACGTGACAGAAAGAGGGGAAGCTATAAGAGTTTCCTCTCACCCGAATCGAGTGAGAGAGCCGTTTTGTATTGTTGCAGCAATGCGGGTGAGGTTCAATTCACTTCAGCCTTTGCTTTGGTTCTTAAGCCCTTTGTTATGGTTTTCTTCGTCTCTTTCTTCCTCGTTCAGATCAAACACAAGATGTGGAAGCATTACCCACCCGACTCGGGTGAGAGACGCTGCTGACGTGTATACAGCCTCTTACGTACGAGGAAGTCCGGCTGGGCACCCAGTCCCAGTTGGGCTGTGGTGCCAGCCTTGTTGGCAAGAATTGTGAGTTCTGCAATATCAGAACAATGACAGTGTGCTGACGAAAGAAGCGCTTTCCGCGGCTTTGCGGATCCCCCGTCTGCTCCTGACTCCGAGCCAGTCTCCTCTGCCTTGCCCTGCGACTGGACTTGGTCTAAGTCGTGTGGATTTTGCTCCCGTTCCCGGCCTGGCGCTGGCTGCGTTGCCGTGAGTGAGAATTTAGCCAAGGTTAATGGCGTGCTGAATCAATTAGGTCCCCGTCAACCTATAGGCAGGTTGCCGTGCCCTCCAGGCTCTCATCGAGAGAGCAATTTCCGTTGCTGGTGGTGGTTCGGCTGTTCCAGCCGACCAGATGTTAGTATTTCTCACCGGGTGATGAATCACTAACACCTATCTTAGGGAATGGCTTAAGTCCCAAGCACAGGGGCTTGAGCCTATGTTTCGAAAGGCCAACCGTGCTTGTAAGGTTGGCGGCGATGCCAGCCTCTCCGATCTTGGGGAGGTTTGGCATTTGCCAGACGTCCCAATGGGCGTTTTCACCTTCTGTTAGTGATGTTAAGAGGTGGAGGGATAGTACTGATTAGGACAGTGGCTCCCTCTCTCCCGGCCCCTTCTACCTCCGTCAACGACGACGAAGAGGATTTCAGCTCGGGTTTCGGTATGTTTGCCTTTCCCACCCGATTCGAGTGAGAAATCACTGACAGTGAAATAGACCGACGCACAATCACCCCCCGTGATTGTGGTCAGTCCGATGGTGGACGGGCGACCTCCGGCGGTCGTATCGTATACTCTGAAAACTTTGTCACAGAAAATACAACTTCCAGAAGTAGTGATGTTGGCGGACGCCAAGGTTGGTAAAGTTATTGGGAGCTTCGAGAGCGAGCCCACACCCAAGCCCGTAGGAAATGCGTCTCTCAAGGATGATATACACGCTCGTCGAATCAAGGAAGGCGCACCACGAGCCGGTTGTTTACAAGTCTTGAATCAGCCAGATTTCACTCTACGACAGCTTGTCGAGATCCCCACAGAAGCAATCAATCAAGACGCCGCTTTACCCGGAATCGGCAAACAAGTGCCTCCCCATTTCAAAACGTCAGCAAAGCCGCCTACCTATGGGATCGGAAGCCTCCATTACGCTACGGGTCGCCAGATTGTGTCTGAGCCAATCACTCCTGCGAAGGAAACTTCTACACTCAAGGACTACAGCTTCCGATCGCTATCTCTCGCCCCTCGCGTCCGGAAGAGACAAACAGAGTAGGCTGCAGTACAAGATCCGAAATGCAAGAATATCCAGATCCGCGAGCTAATGGGCTTCGGGCCATCACCCCTGGGAAGAGACCATGTAAACGAAAAAGACAGACCATGGGTTGTGGTCGGACGCCACATTGCTCAATAACTACAAGTGAAGGGAGTTGAGCGTTGGGGAACAGGTGAACATGGGGAGCAAGGCAAGCAATATGTGATTAATAAGAGTATATCAGGTGGTAAGTGTCTCGAGTGGAATTGAAAACAAGTGGTACACTCAAGTCCTCCACTTTTAAGACGGAGGTGGCCTTCGTTGGTAATGAGCGTTCCGTTTACCCTGGAAATAGAGGTACTCTGTCCTCTGCCAACGCCACTAGCTGCGTTCGATATCGCAACCACTCGGTCATTGTTGGGCACTCTTTGGCTACATTGGATGTGGTGTGTATTTTTGGTTAGACTGTGTCATTTATTCTCAGTCCGGCCTACCATTTCTTGCACCGAGCGTGCTTCGAAATGCGTGTGTAGATCATATATAGAGGGGGCTACCTACCCCCAAGCAATACACATATCATTCGAGAACAGGCCAAACAGCGCCGGTGCATTTCCTGGCCCTGAGACAACCAGATTCAGCGATTGTCAGTCCCAAACTTCCTCGAGCTCACGAAAATCAGCGTTCTCGAAGTCGCTATTTGTTGGAAACGAAACAAATTCGTCGAAAATGGAATCAGCTGGATTGTTGTTAGATTCAGGCACATCCGATTGGCCTTTGGGCCGTCGAGTGTCAAATTCCAAACCCCGGACTGGCAGCATCCAGTCGTTGTCCTCTTGAGAGTTCTCTTCTCCCATGGATGGTAGACTTGAGGCGCCATCCGACCTCCATCTTCCGCGACAGCCTCGAGACGGTGATCTGCGTCCATCAACTGAGGTGGGCAAGGAGTATGCCAGTCGAGACAGTATTGCGTAGCAGGATGCTCCAGTCCGAGTCGAACCCCGGAGGAGCCCCAACATAGCAAGTGCCGAGTGAATCGAACATCTTCTCCCGACGCGGAAGGTCTCGTTATGTCATGGATGATTGCAGCGCACACAATAACAGCGGTGTCGAAAATTGTACACGTCACTATGTGTGCTTAAGCTTTAGCTAGGAACGTCAGGTTGAAGAGTCGGGCGCCAGCCTCCATGGTCTTCAGGGAGGTGTCAACAGCCGTCGCTCGAAGGCAATTTATCACCCCCGAGAGCAATTTCCCACCCCTTTACCTGCCAGAGACGACCTTAGAGCATTCAGCTCAGACCGCTAGGACATTGTGTGGAGATGCTCGCCCTGGAGCTGCACATATGGGAAATCCTTGTCCCAAAACGTGTTTGGTTCCGTGACGGTGTAGGTTTTGGGAAACAACTTCAGCCAATGGTCCACTTCTTCCAGAATGGTTAGCATGTTCTTCCAGTCCTGTGGATCTCCATCATATTTGGAGGACAGGGTCAGGTGCAGTTGATATTGTAATTGCGTTGGGGTGAACGGCGAGGGCGGCCCAGGTGGGTTATCGGACTCCTCGAGGCAAAGACTAGGCATTGCGATGGCACAGCTTTTGTGGTCGATCAGGAATGGTCGGGACAACCAAAAGGACATTTGCCTCGACAAAGTCTGAGCGATAAGTTGACACACCTACTTTTAGGCATACCTACCAATCCCACACGAAGAAAAGGCACCATATTCGCCTCCTCATTTCCAGCTCAAAACTTGACGCGCTTTTGGCGAGGCGGTCTTTGAATAAACCTGTATGAAGTCTTTCGGGGCCTGTTCTAAGTTGATTCGAGACACCTGCCTACCAATTTCTTGTGTTTCACGAATAGCTGCACCGAGAGAATGCCATACTTCGACGAACTTGGCTTCTGACTTGTACCAAGTAGCTGTCAGAAACAACTGTTGCACCTGCATCAAGCCGCCTCTGCCAGGAGCAAAACATCGACTCAAATGTTCGGCTTCTCTATGATACCTTTCAACAAGTGCTTGGCTCCCAATTCCCAGCCCCGATTCGAGCCTTCGACGCAAAGAAGTGTCTAAGTATTGCGTCGAGCATGAACAGATCCTTAGAACCAAACACGTCAATAGCGGAGAGACTGGTTGTCCTGCGGATCGGCGCGAACACCACTCTGCATATTGTTCGAGGAAGTGATGCAGGTAGATGCTATAGTAGAAGGAATTGACGTGCTGGAAAAAGTTTTGGACCAAAACATGTCCTGGGTGTCAGCAGCAACCGGCAAAGAACTTTGGGAAGGGAGGCATTATACCACGCAAATATCGGGAGGAAGAGTGATGAGGGCTGATGTGACTTCCTCCGCCACAGGATCCTCGGGCTGTTTTGGAATCTCAGAACGCTCCAACAGGTGAGTAGCAAGGTCAAAGAGAGGCCTGATGAGCATACCTGGGAGTCTGGTCAATCAAGACTGAGATATGCAATGCCTGGCATGTAACCCAGAGCAATCAGACCAATATCTTCTTCCAACTCGGGATCATATGCGCCTTTCTTGAATGCCTTGATTTGATCCTCCTCGATGCCCCTCTTAACTCCCCGTGATTGACTATTCAGCAGTAAGCGGTAAGAAGCCTCACCAGCTGTCCAGATGGGAGGTACAGGGTACCTCGGTGGCTGCTGGACCGAAGCACGATTTGACGGTGTTTTTCTTCGTGTAAAATTACCAAGATCAGATACTTTTCAGAGCGATAATGATTGCAAGGCCATTCGCGGTTGCACTGCCAGTCCTCAGCAGCTTGCTCATCTGGAGTTCACCAAGCGCCATGGCACCTTTTTGTTTCCGACGCTGACATTCTGTGCAAGACACTGGTTGATGACCGAAAGGGCCGATCATGGCGAAAGCGATCAATATGCAATGTCTCGCTCAGCAAGTGCACGAGAATAAATCGATTCGATCGCTTCATTGCTCGGGCTAGCAGGACTGGGTGGACTGGGTGAGATTTATCTTTACATTATTATTACAGCGGCGGGAGGACCACTCTTTGGACTCTTTAGGTATCATAACGAGCTAGTACGTATTAGGCAAGGTGGGCTAACTGCGCATCTTTCTCTTCGCCAGCAATTTAGCCATCCATTGACCTTGACGTGCTGATACTTTGAGCAGGCATTACCACGCTGCTGTCTCGGCAGAGACTTTGTTCGGATACCATGTCGCTGTCGATATGCACTGAATGCCTCTCGCGGCTGCGAATCTCGTCCACGACCCCCAAAGGTCTCGCCGTCAAGGCATCAACGCTGACCCAAACAACTTCCTTTCACAGCTCTGCGGCACAATATAAATCCCCTCTGCTGAAGAAGAAAGTCGCCCAATCCGGTACCGCACCCCCCAGATCTCGTCAATCTCAATCTGCACGCCTAAAGAAGAAATCCCGAGAGCGACCCAAGCTTCCTCCCGTGGGCGAACGCCGAGCTCAACGCCATCGCATCGTTCTCTCCAACACCAATGCCTTACCAGTGTCGGACATAGAGACCTGGAGCAAGGAGAACATGGTTGATGAGAAGTCCGTTGGAAAGATGATGGCGCTTGACGGTGAACTGTTGGATCAATTGAGAGACTCAGGGGCCTTTAAAACGACGCAGAATTGGGGTCTGTTTCGGAGACCGGCAACTTTGATTAGAGAAGAGACACATCAGATCGCGAGAGATATCGAGAATGTGAAGCAGGGAGGGGAGAATAAGAAGCTCGTCAAGCATTTAGTTATTGGTGAGAGGGCTAGTGGGAAGAGTGTGCTCGTGTTGCAGGCCATGAGTATGGCATACATGAATAATTGGATCGTCCTGAATGTCCCAGAAGGTAGGACCTTCTCCATGTCCATCCATGACCAGAGGCAAGGCGACTGACTTTGGATTTCTGCAGCCCAAGCTTTCGTCAACAATACGTCTTCATACGCCCCCCTTCGACACGGTGAAGACGAGTCCGAACACATGTACATCCAACCACACCTGACCCAACTCCTCCTCACCCGTACTGCCACTTCCAACGAATCTGTCCTGAAGTCGTTGAGACTAAACCACACTCACCCCAAAGCTCTCTCTCTGAAGAACAACTCCACATTGCTGGAGCTTGTGCAGAAAGGCGCAGGGGACCACCACCTCTCCTGGCAGGCATGGCAAGCATTTTACAAGGAACTTACCGAACCGGGCCAAAACGGTCGCCCACCGGTGCTTGTTACTGCCGACGGCATTGACCACTGGATGGGTCCCACTGCATACCGCGACAGCGAGCATAAAATCCTTCATTCGCATCAATTTATGCTGGTGAAGCAGTTTATCAATCTACTCTTCTCGGGCGACACGTCGAGTGCGTCGCCGTTTGTCAATGGCGGCATGGTCCTCTACAGCACATCGGGCTCCAACACTCCGAATTACCCAACCTTCAACCTCATCCTCTCTCAAATGCGCGCTCTCCAACGACACTCCATCTCTCCCACACACCCGGAATTTCCCTTGCCGAAGCCATACAGTAAACCTGATCCTAGAATCCTCGCTCTTTCCGAACCTGCCACTCGCGGCGATCTGAATCTGTTGGAGTTGAGAGGATTGAGTAAATCAGAGTCACGGGCATATTTGGAATATTTCGCAAAGAGCGGGCTTTTACATAAACGCATCACGGAGGGGTTGGTAAGTGAGATGAGGGGACTGAGCGGAGGCGGAGTCGTGGGCGAGCTGGCAAAATTGGGCAGACGCGTGATTGCTTGAAAGGGGGGAGGACGATATGTGACAGATGGTGGGATTGGAATCGTGTAAGAGGGAGAGATGGTCTGGAAGCGTCAGAATGGCACCCAAATGTGCATGATTTTGTTGAGCAAGCAACTGCTGCGATGAACAACCCCCTGCGGCCTCTGTCGTCTCCTTTACTCCGAGGATAAGATGTCGGAAGAGAGTGGTCCAGTTCAGCGGCCTCAGACGCGCATCAGACGCAGACAGGCCTCCGTCTTGTCTGGTATCGAGGAGGATTGTGTACAATACAAATGATCGAGAATACAGACCTACACGTGGGTACCTTGTATCAGACCACGAGAGTTCAAGGAGATGACGCTTGACCGTAATTTTTAGCAAAGAGATCAAGAAATTGGTCCGTCAACACCAGACTGATGAGCTTTATCGAATTTCCGCGACAGGGAAGAGGACTGGCAGTCGACTCGGGAGCCATATAGGCAGTAGTTTCGCGCGCAGGCAAGGTACATACAGTAAATATGTACATGGAGACAGGGAGCATCTGATGGACTCCGTACCAGTAGTTGCAGCTGCATATCACCTCCCTCCCCTTCTCAAGCCAGGAACATCGGCCTTGCCTCCTTCTCTCGCTTACAATGGGGCTGTTTCCTCCTCCCTGCGCATTGTCTCCTGTTTCTCTGCTCTCCCTCTTACCTTTTGTGTCCCGCTATTGTCTCATGCGCGCTCTTCCTCTTCTTCCACCTTCTCACCAACATCACTGCGTGATCATTGATCTAGAAAATCGCAAGTGCGTTCGGCGGGCTTCCGATTCCACCGGGGACGTTCAACGGCACGCTCGTCAAGAGGAACTCGTACCGGCCGACTTTCTTGCAATGCTCGCCGAGTTTCTTGAGGTCCCAGAGTTCGCCGATGTTGAGGCCGAAGAGGGAGAGGAAGTATTGATGGAGAACTTCACAAGAGAGGCGAGTTAGAAGAAGAGCTCGCAGGAAAGCGTCAAGAGTGTTGAGAACTCAAAAACTTACCAAGTTCTGCAATCGTGCCTGGCCGGTTCCCGTCCTCCTCAATCGAGGGAGGAAGCACCTCAAACGCAATCGCGTCTCCCGCGACGGCAGCGAAATGGTGATTCCACACCCACTTCGCCGTTTCCTTACACCCCTTGACGCCCACCGCCTTATGGGTTCCCAACATGCGTTCTTGTTCTTCGGCGCCCACTGCCCCGAGGTCCTCTGTGAACCCGGATCGAACGATCAAGATGTCGCCGTGCTTGAACTTCGTGCCTTGGTGAGCAGCCACGGCCTCGAGATCTTGTACCGAGATGGCGTGTGAATCGAAGCAGTCATACTTGATTCCCTTGGCTTCAGCATAGGCGCGGTAGTCGAGAAGGACACCCCGTCCCACCAGGCCGCCACGGTCGTGCCAGTGGTTTAACGTCGGCAAGGCCTTGTCAAGGTCGACATTGCCGAAGCTCTGAACCAGCTGCTCGCGGGCTGGCTTGGCCCCATTGTAGCCACAACCGGTGGGTTGATGGCAATAATGTACCAGGCTGTCCCATTGCGAGGAGCATTGGGTGTTGAATTCGACCTCGTCGTCAAATCCGTACAGATCGAAGGGTCCTTCCTTGAAGGAGAAGACCTTGTGTTCCAGGCCTTTTCTTTGGAAGCCCGGCTTGTTAATGGCGCCAATGGGCCAGTTGAGGGATACGGAGACGCCATCGCGGGCTTCTTTGAAGGCCTCTTGTACGACTTTCGGAGTGAGGAGATTTATGCAGCCGAGGTGGTCCTTTTTTCCATCCTTATCGAAGACACCCCAGGCACAGCCCTGAGGCATGCCCTCGACTTTGGGAAGCGAGTCAAAGTCTGGAAGGTTAGAATAATCCGCCATTTTGGTGAAAGGGGACAGTGTGTTCACTGGGAAT